GATCGGCGTTTTAAATTTTCTTCTATTCGCATGTGAACTTCTTTTTATGCCTAGCTTAAAACTCATTACTGTTCTTGGATCATTTTATTTTGCGTGAAATCTTTGGTGTTAAATCTTAGATCGTGTAGAAAGGCCCTAATGTCCGCTCTCGGTTTCCTCGATTATCGGATCAATGCCTAGTTTGCTCTCTCCTTTTGCTTCTTTCCCTTCAAGATCTCACTGTCTTTTCTTTGCTTAATCTAACTGTTTTCTGAGATCTAAGCCTTTGTCTCTTTTTCGATGGCTGTTTTTGTTCTAGCACCTGAAGCTTACTGTATGCTTGTGTGTGTGTGTGTGCCAGTGTGTGTGAGTGCTAATGTTTTTGTGTTGTTTTGTATTTTTTTGGAGTGCGCGACGTAGAACTCTCAACACACAGACAGACAGACACAGCATATAACGGGACGGAGGACGTCCGTCTCGCTTTCACGTTGATGTTTCCGTTAGTGTTGTTTGTGCGATACTGACTCAATTTGTTGCTCGGCACCGTGTATATAGCGTGCTTCTTCTTGCTCGCCGCTCGGCTGTCGGTCGGTTTGTCGCTCGGTCGCCCAGTCGCTCTCTCCCGCTTCTCCCTCTCCCACTCCCTCTCCCCCCACACCCACTCTCCCGCTCTGCCGCTCTCTCCGCCGCTCTGTCGCACTTGTGGGCGGAGAGTCGTTTAGTCCACCCAGCGGCGGCGACAGTTAACTTTGTCTTTTGGCGGGGGGGTGGCGAGGGGGGGGTGTGGGAAGGTGGTCTGGTGGTTGGTGTGAAAAAGTTTTGGTTGTTTGATTGAAAGCGAAAAACCCCTGAAGGTATGCTATTTTTAGATTGCAACTTTCAAAATGCCTTGCCACAAAACCAAACAGTATCGACTAAACCCAATAAGCATACCTACACACACATGTGAGTAGTTAATATCTGAAATCTTAAAAGTATATATTAAAGATTCAACAAAACGTAGGACTACGTGGCGTATGCGTAATATTTTACTGCATTAATCAGACCCCCCCACCCCTTTCAGAAAACTCCCGTCGCCGCCACTGCAAGACACTTGCCATTAGAGTGCCCCAAAAAAACCAAAAAAAAAAATTACAGCATACAAGTATAAAGACACTTCGTTGAGTGCATGCAGCAGCAGGGCAAAAGAAAGCGGGAAATCGGAAAAACGGGAAAACGGGAGTCGGAGCTCGAAATCCAACATGAAAGCAGAAAATGGAGTCACAGAGTCACACAAAATCGGAGTTGAAATTGCTGCCCCAAGGCACACAGGAGCGGTCTAATTGGGAAATATTTACCACTTACCAGATAACTGAATTACAAGTAATTCCCTATTTTATAATTTTTCCATATTCTATGTGGGCCAAGTTTACGCCAATTATCAACATTAATTGATTTGCTTGAGACATTTTATTTTGTTCAGCAGATTTTACGGTTCATTTAATGTGGGGAATTGCATATATTAAACTAATTACAGCTGGATGAACTGAAACTGAATGGAAGATTAGTACCCAACTGGCCATTTTCTTATGCTCTGGTTGAGCTGTAAGTATCCATTAAATTCATTAGAGTGCCTCGGCACTTGTCAGTTTTACGGCCGCATTTCAGTTAACGAGAGTATGAGAAAGCAGCCGAGGAGCACTTAACATTGACCTTAGGATGGTAAGAGCGAAGGTTCAACTTAATGTGCAAATGGAAAAGCTTACACATACTTCAATCTTATGGATCAAAATGATATAATAGAACAGTAATAGTTTAGGTTAAGCTTACTGTTGATAATACTAGTGATCTGTATAAAACATACTAAAGTTGTGGTATCAAATCTTGTAACGAAATATGATTTTATAGCTTGTATTGTTGTGATCGTACGACCATAGCAGATTTGAATTTTTCATTCGCATGGTGCGCTTCGTCACGACGCGGACTACTGTCCACAGTGATGGGTGAGCATATGTATCTGTAGGCGTATAGTTTCAGGTATATCCCTGTCGATTCCCTTGGGAACGCGGAATCGCTGCCTGTAATTCGTAGGGTTAGTGGGTCAGGTTCAGGTCCGGCCCTGGTGATTGCCATACAACTCCTCGCTCTCGAACTCGAACTCAAACTCGGTCTCGTACTCGTAAACGTACTCGTACTCGTAGTCGTACTCGTATTCGTACTCGTATTCGTATTCATATTCGTATTCGGTTTCAGATTCGGACTACGATTCGAGTGCGGAATCGGGGTCTCCAGAGTAGGGTTCCGTTGCGTCATCGGCGTTTGTTTGCTGCCACCTTTTAATGGTGGGGAAGGGATGGGTGGCTGGGTGGCTGGGTGGTTCAGTAGGTCGCTGGTGGGTCAAAGGGCGACCAGGAGGGGCGCTGCACTGTTGAGGTAGCTGCGTGGTAATGGTGAATTTATGGTTCTGTGGGCGGGCGCAGATGGAAGCGAGTGGCGGCGAGTGGAGGTATTGCTCCCGGTGGTTGTTGATGCCTTGTTTTTGTAATTCCCATTCACATTGTATTTATCAACCCACCCACACCCCACACCCCTCCCCCTGCGCTCGTTGTTTTTGTTTCTTGTTTTCTGCCGCTTTTTGTTTTGTATGCGTTTTTGGTTACAGCTCGAAACTGGCACGAGTCAACTTTTATCGCACAATACACACACACATGCCACTCAAGCGCACTCACACACACGCACAGTTGGGGACGAAATTATAGAAATGGCTAATTAAATAAGTTAAGCGACCAATAAGCACAAAACAATGTTAATCCCAAACGACTTCCCTAAGCATCTAAAAGTGGTAATCGGTGGCATTGTGAATTATAATAGTTGCATACTTTGCTATTCTCTGGAAATCAAACTAGTTAGTGCCAAATAAATTTCGAATTGTCTGCGCTTAGCATGCATTTCATGGACTGGCAATCACTAGTATTTTGGCCGCAGGTGTCAAGGGGAGACACACACACATGGACATTGGTTTGGCATTTGTTTTCGCAGGCCCGCTTTTGACTTAATGCCGCAATTATTATTGCAAAAACACAACAGCCCAAAAGGAAAACAACGCGAAAACAGGCAACATAAACTAAAAAGCTTTTATTTCCCCCCAGGTGTGGGCATCGAAAACTAAATGCCAGAGCCCGTTAGCCCACAGATTTCGGCTGGCAAAAGGAATATGGGGAATAAAAGCTGACAATTTCGTTTGGAGGTTATACGATATCCCTTACCTGTCCAAACTCCATTACACACACGTGTTGCCACAGATATATGTACATTATACGAGTATATATATATATTAATATATAAGTATGTATGAGTTGTATTGATTTGTGTTTGTAGTAAACAGCTATATCCGCCCTTCTCCGCTCGCCAGCCCATTAAAATTGGGGAAATTTTTTCTACATGCATAATTTATGAAAAGCCGCTTGACTAAATAGTTGCCACCGAAACGAAGTTATTCAAGCGCAATAAGTTTGAGCCCCTTCGGCGTACAGAAGCGGCAAAAAGGTAACCAAAAATAAACGGAGACAAAAAAAACAAAAAAATTCAAAAAAGGGATCAATAGGTTTTGTAGGCACAAGATGGGGTGCCTTAGATTTTGGGATGACATCAATGGCCGGTAATATTTCGATAGAAAATTGAATAATATTTGCCCGAAGCGCGGATATATATTATGCTATTATCTAAACTTGGTAATCTCCTCGCCTTGCCCGAAAATAAATATCACCTGTCCTATTCGAAATGCCCATCGAAGTAACAAATTGTATGTGGAGGCCCATCGATTAATACAAGTCCCGTGAATGAAATGATGGACGCAAGTTCGAATGGAAATGCCCGATTATTGGGGACCGGCGCAGTTACGTACCATCCGAAAATTGGAGAACATTAATCAAACCAATTAATACCAATCGGAAAAAGGTCAGCCGTGGGCTCGTGACGCAGCAACAGGAGCGAAATTAGTGGGCTGCAGGTCAAAGGTTGCTCCTTGGGAATCGTGTGGCTGGGTGGAGGACGGCGGGTTGAAGGGTGCTACCCTCAGCATTAACCCTACTAATTTTCAAAATGGAAATGCCTTCAGTTGGAGGTCGAGTTCGAGGTTCGGTGTTCGAGGTTCGGGGGGCAGGGCCCAGGCGAAAATGATTAACGAACCAGCTTGCGACAGACAGCATATAATAATTTATTGATACCAGGCACACACACTCACGCATTCTCGCACACAGTCGCACACAAAGGACCCTTGCAGGACGTCCCTACTTCCGTAATTCCGTGGCCCAGGCGCCCAGTGGCCCAGTAGGTGACTCCGTGGTCAAGGCTCTGTTGCCGTACAAGTTCTACGCGGACCCAGCAGCTAGTTGGCTGGCTTCCTGCCGCACTGCGAGAAATTCCTCCTCAATTCCGTCATCTTAGATACAAAAGAAAAGAAAGAAAATGTAGAACAACGTGGCGTATGCGTAATATTTATGTTTTTTTACTAAGGTGTTTTATATCTCAATGATGATCCCCCACTGATTTGTGATATTTCTGTTCTCTACTAAGGTATTTTAAATGAAAAGGCATGACCTCCCACTGATTTGTATAGAACAACGTGGCGTATGCGTAACATTTATGTTTTTCCATCAATAAACATATGAGAGCATAATTTTCCGCGAGTGCACCGCTTGTCACACGAGGAACGTCACACACACGCACACAAGCAGTTGGAAAATCGGTGACCTACAAAACATTTAATCGCTGCCAACGGCCAAAAAGTTTTCGGTTACCTTCGTCCGGTGGTTGCCTTCCCACATTCTGTGGTGACCGTCTTCTGGGGGGGATTGGCTTTCAAAACTCCAGAGTTTCGGGAGCGACACGCACGTGTTGTTTGTCCAAGGACTCGCGGACCGAGGAAACTCGAGGACATCTGTCCGCCGGCCAAAGAACCCAGCCCAGCCCACTTTCGGTCACGACCAAGCCACAGATAATGATAATAAAACGTTGGTAAAAGTTAGCCAAGTAAACGCTTGTTCGGGGTTTTGAGTTTAGCTTTTCGATAAACAGTGTTTAATTGTAGTTGTAGTTGTAGTTGTAGTTGTAGTTTTCTTTCTCTTTTTTACATATCTTATACACAACATTTAGTCGAGAGATGAACTTAAGTGTTAGGCTTGAATTGAACGTAGAGTTAGGATATAGTACAAACTAGTTTAAGATGATGCGATCCTAATCGCAGGGTAGTTCGAACCTCGCAGGTATGGCATTTCGAATGGGACAAGTCATGGAAAGCATGATTCATAGGATAGATGAGTTTTTTTTCTTTTTTTTTTGGTTTTTTTGTTTTGGTGAGTGGTCCGTTGCCGGTGGTTTCAAGTATGAGTATAAGACACAATTTATTGCATTCTGTGGATGAGAGATCGATCAGGTTTAGAATAACGTGTACTATATATGCGATAGGTATCAATAAGTTGAGTAAACTGCAACGTTTTTGGCACGCCTCAAACGCCCTCACAGACTCACAGACAGACCGTTTAATATAAAGCTGAACAGGTTTCAAGGAAGGGAAGGTACACACACTCATTACGGAACGCAGCCATACATACATAGATAGTATCATACATATGGCTACATACATATGTATATAGTACTTATATGTGGCTCCTAAACATCGACAACCATTTTCTTGTGTATATCGGTGTTGCCCACCACCGAGCAGAATTCATCAAACGATATCTTGCCATCCTCGTCCTTGTCCGCAAAGCAAATGGTCTTGTCCACGATCTGCTGCAGCTGTGTATCCTTCAGATTGTTGCCCACCATCATCTTGAGCACCTGGAACAGCTCCCCATTCGAGATGTAACCATCATTGTCCATATCGTAGATCCGGAAGGCGAATCGCAGCTTGGACAGCTTATCGCCGCGCACGCTAAACTGTGACACGCCCTGGATGAACTCCTTGAAGTCCACCTCTCCATTGCCGTCCGCATCGAAGATATCGATCACCCGCTGCACCAGCGGATTCTGCTGCAATTCCGGCAGCGACATGAACTCGTCTATGCTCAGGGCCCCGGAATTGTCCAGATCCAGCTTGCGGAATCGCTTGCCCAGTCTACGGATCTCGTCCGCATCGAAGTTGGAGCACATGTCCATGGGCAGTGAGGTCTCGTTACCCATGCTGGCCTTTGGTTGCTAGGTTCTCTGGTCTCGATCTGCGAATGGAACGTAATCGTTAGGGCGACAGGGCATTCTGCTCTACCGAGAAAAAGTCGCTTCCAAATGAGTTAAAACTCAATTAATAATTCAAATATCAGAGGAGTTAGCAGTCTTATGAGGCGAAATACTCAATCAGAAAATCGAAAGGATATTCGGTATATGACAAAATTGATGCATACTTCCAGGCTGGCCTCTTTTACTAATATGCATGCCCACTTATCACTGATAAATCATTCACTCGAAATCATTTGGATTGCACTTTTTCTCAGCGTGTACAGCACAACTTGCTTACCTGGGCGTTTAATAACTCAATTTTCCAAAGACTGGCGCTCTCTCTAAAAAAAAAATAAAGAAATGGAGGGAGTGCAAGTTAGCAGCATACTTTTAATTATGGCTCAATCGTATCGATTTTCCAAATTCCCTTGAATTCCCCTACTCGTTTTCGCTTCAGCAAAGGAGTGGACTCTGGTGGGCAGAGGCACAGTTCCGGATCGAACTGCGTTGAACCGGATGCTTGGGTGAGTCCCTTTGCAAGGAATTGCAAGTGGTAGCCATAGATATTTACCATAAATAAACAATAGTTGCGCTGGATTGTTAAACTCCCAAAAAAGTGCTCTCTACTCGCTCGACAGCAAATACACGACTGCAGGCGAATGAGAGGGTATTCGCCGTTAGCTCTCGCCTGGAGTGTGAGAGCGCGGAGAGCGCAGCTGTCAGAAGCGGACAGCTGTTGCTTTTCCACCTGTTTTTATGTCTTTTTTTTGGAGGCGGCTGCAAATTGGTTTTCACTTGTGCACTTTCGTTATCTTTTCCACTTTTACGGCACAGTTTTGGGTGTAAAGGGGTGTTCTCAGCTTTAGCACAGCATACTTATAGGTGGAAGTCCTCAAAGTATCGCGCAATGCGTTAGTACATTATTTGTGAGCTTCTGCTAGAGATGGACCATCGCACTGGCCTAGAGGTGCTTCATTCGATAGTATTTTTAAATTCACATGCGATAGGTCTATTACAATATTAATATTAATACGCAAACGCAGTTTATTCCTTGTGGTCTTTTATTTAAAATGGTCTAAGCCATCAGTTGTCACTCATTGAATTTGTCGAAATCAGCTTGCATTGAGAATGAGAATATCTTAAGCAGTTCTTCTAAACAAAATTAAAAAATGTACTTGCAGTACAGCTCACAAGCCATTTAAGTAATAAAGGGGTATAGAAAATATGAGATGAGATTAGAAATGGCAACTAATCCACAGCATGGATTTGCTTCTGCTTTAGCACCAGATAATCCTCTTCGTCTGTGCTAACTTCGTATATATCTCGCGACTTTGGCTGAACTGGAGTCCTTAATTTGGCCTTCTTCCCATTGTTCTCAGCCACCCGCTGCAATTCATCTTCCGTATCAATGCCCGATGAAGCATCTGGATTCAGATCCACCTTATTCCGATCCGCTAGAGCTGAATCATGGGTATTCTCTAGCTTGCTATCCTCCAGCATATCCACATCATTCTCGCTAGAATCGCGCCGTGGCCTCGTCGCCTCGTCGCACAGCTCCTCATCGCTCTCTGGCTGGCCAAAGTCATTGGTATCCAGGGCGTATCGCCGCCATGGCAGATACTTCTTCAGCTCGTAGCATTTCTCGATCCAGCTGCGTGTCACAATCTTGCCCTTGCCCTTCACTTGATTGTACTTCGGGGTGTTTTTGAATGCGCATCTGTTTGGGTTAGCCAAATGTTCATGTTAGCAGTTAGTGGCAGTTACCAGCTCAATGCGCACTTCACTTACATCAGGTGGGTGCATCCTGGCTCCCAATCAGCTTTATACTTGGCTCCCAAGGCGACCGCTTTTGAGCGCAAGTCCGCACGATCGGGATTCTGAAAGGAGAAGGGTTTTTGGTTTAAACAGTTTGGTTTAACAGTTTCAATTGAATTTGCTTGCCTGTATGCCACTGATGACTAGGAGCACTCCCTTGAGTAACTGATTGAAGGGGCGGTATTGAACGGCTGTGTCCATGATCTTTTGCTTTTTGGCGGGCGTGACTGCGACTGCGGTGGGAGATGAATGACGCTTTTGCGCAGATGGGCGAGAGCCTTCCTTGGTCTTCGAGGTGTCTGAAGATCTGTGGGCATGCTTAGACTTATCCTCCTTCCTGGATTTCTCCTCCTTCGAATGCGATCTTTCCTCTTTTCCTAAATGCTTATCCTCTTTGGGCGTGGATTTTTCTCTAGACGATGACTTGTGCTCCTTTGCTGGTGGTTTGTCTTCTTTCGACGATGACTTGTCCAAGGATTGCCTGCTGGACTTTTTCTTCCTGCTCTCCCTCTCCTTTTCCTGCTCCAATCGCCGGCGATCCTTGTCCGCCTCCAGATGCTTGCTCAGTCGGTGTTTCTTGGCATTGCCCTCGACATCAGCCTCGTCCTCATCATCGTCGCCAAACAACAGGGAAGCTCGATTGCGATCCAGGGGCTTGGCATCCGTTGGCGCCGGAGAATCCGATCGCTGGGCATTGGTCACAGGAGATGGCGACGGCGAGGGTTTGGGTGACGGCTTGGGCGACAGTGAGGGCGATGCAGCCAGGCTGGAAACCTTGCCAATGCTCAGCCTTCTCAATGCCGATGAGCCGGCGTCCCGAATGGCCGCTGCTGTGGAGACCGCAGCAGGTGATTTGTGCTGCGTCTCCTTCTTCCAGCTGTGAAATCTATTCACCTGGTTGTCCGTCTCCGAATCAGGTGACTCCTCGCGCAACTTAAAGGCCCCGAACTGCATCACACCCTGTGGCATCAGGGATTTGACCTTTGGCGCCGCAGCTGCCACCACATGCACCTTGACGAAGGACAGCCCATATGGCACATGACGATTGAAGGGCTGGGTGCAGACTATCTTCAGCAGTTTCCACTTCTCCGGCAGGGCACGCTCCGCCAGTGCAGTGGCACTGAAACAGCGCACCCGGTTTGGGTTGCTCGAGTTTTTGCTCTCAATGGGCGTCATAAACGAACTGGAGAGCAACAGCTCCCGGAAATCGTCCGCCTGACAGCCCGTCCGGCTGACCAGCACCTCGATGAAGGCGGCGTGTTCGTTGCCAATATCGATGCCCGTAATCTGTTGCGGCTCCTCGAATTCCAGCACAACATATGCGGATTTTTCTCCCGCCGCTTTGGTGCGCCACTTTTTGCCGGCATTCTCCTTCAGCAAGTTCTCCGCCACGTGCACCTGGCCATCGAAAAATGCATAGTTATGTATATAGCGTGTGTGTGTATCGGCGATCTGCATAGGATCACTACTCACCGCATCCTCACTGCTTACTTCGCGTACGGACTTGAAACCCGCAATGGGCATTTCGCAAAACTCATGAATTTGACTGGGACGCCGCTTAATTTGGCGGGAAATCGTTTCGGCCAACGCTGCTCCTCTAATTTTATGGATTTTCGGAAAGAAGCTGTATATTTGGCGTGTGTTTTCATGGGCGCTACAATGTTTGTTTATCTGTTGTCTTTTGCGGAGGAGAGGTAAACTGAGCCCATTTTGTTTGGCCAACTATTTTAAAAATAAACCCTGTATTGCTGGGCGCTAATTGCCCATCACTAACAGTGCTGGCAGCCCAGCTGGATATCGCTAAATTGAGTCGCATCACTGATATATCGAAACTAGCTAATTAATCAACTGGTTTACCAACACTGCACTTTTTTTTTCATATATTTTATAATTTGTTTATGAAATATAAGTTAATTACGCGATTCAGTTGCATATGCTATTACGCTTTTTTTTTATCAGCCATTACTTTAGTTTTTATTAGAGCGATTAAATCGCCAAAGTGGCAGCGCTAGTGAAAAGCAAAAACAAGTGAAAGTTTTGATATGATAAATTTGCAAAATAGAGATGAGCAATGCTTTCTAACAGTGACACGGAACAAGATGTATGTTTAGTATTATACAAAAAAAGAGAAAGCTCCAAGAAAAGAAACCAAACATGGTGAGCAGTATAATGACGCCAATTTAATGTATATTTTAAAAACATTATTGCTTACAAGCAAATACAATCGAATTAAATGGTGACTGCGAACAGGTAGCAACTATCGCCCATCCCTGATTCCCCTTGTCAATGTCGCTGGCAAATAAATAAATAAATAAGTAAATATCAACAAAATAGAGAATGAGCGCGGATGCGAGAATCAAGGAGATGGCGCCATCGCTGGAAGCCAGCGAGCGGGAGATGGAGAGAGAGCGCCAGGACGTGGATGCCACCAACTCGAACACGGAGCCCAGTGCCAGCGATTGGGTGAATTTCTCGCAGTGGATGCACTGCTTCTGCGTGGTCACCTTCGATCTGAATCTTGGCCAGGCGCTGGAGCACGTCTATCCGCCGCAGTTCATGCCCAGCGACCAGGAGGTCAGCAACATCTGCTACATGGCCTTTCCGGACTCCAATTCCGGCTGCATGGGCGACACCAAGTTCCACATGCGACTGCGCTGCACAACGCGACGGGATTCCTTGCCAGGCTACAATGCGGAGTGCTCGCCGGCACTGCGACAGGATGCCTCCCACTACTGGGGCTTCGTCTACTTCAGACAGAAGCGGGACGCGAATCTGCCGCGTGGTTACTTCCAGAAGAGCTTCATCATCATCACACGACTGCCGTTCTTCAATCTGTACTACGACATACTCTCCCAGCTGGCGCCACGCTACTTTGAGGATGGCACAGACGTCCTTCGGCTGGCCAGCGAGCAAATCAATCGCCAGTGGCCCGGCCTGATGGTGGGCAAACCGCTCCAGCTGCCGCTGCTGGAGTGCAGCTATCAGATCTGCATACCGCGGACCAGCAGCAGTAGGAAGTCGACAGCAGAAGGTGTTGGTGGCACGGCGGAATCGCCACCGGCCTTGGCTGCTTGCCCAGCGGCCAAAGTGCTGTGCTCCGTTAACGAAATCGAACTCTTCCGCTCCCTGGACTTTGTCATGGAGCAGCTGTACACGCTGTGGGAGCTGGTCATCACCGCCGAGCCCATCGTTGTTGTGGGCACCTCACCCGCCGACTGCTCCCACATGGTCCAGACCCTGCTGGCGCTGATTGCACCGCTGGAATACTGCGCAGAGGCGCGTCCCTACTTCACCATTCACGACAGCGAGTTCCGGGAGTTCACGCAGGAGTGCACCAGCAAGACCACACTGCCCGCCTGCATTTTGGGCGTGACCAATCCGTTCTTTGTCAAGCTGCTCAAGGATTGGCCGCACATGCTGCGACTGGTGGACAACCAGGTGAGTGGCAGGAATAGTCCATAGTCTGCAAACCGTATCTCCATCTCGCTCGTTTTCAGAAGAACATGCAGCAGCAACAGCACTTGCTGCTGGGCCAAAAGCACGCAAGGAACATCGCTTCGGCCACATCCTTCTCCAGCGCAACGGAACTCGGTGGCAGATCGCTGAAATCCAGCACGGTCCTAAACGGCAGCTCCAACAATGGTGCGGGCGATGCGTCGTCCGCAGGATTGCACAGCAAATACAGGCCGTACCTGAAGAAGGACAAGGCGCTGATCAAGAAGGTGCTGCTGGGCATGAAGACCAAGCGACCGGAGCATGTGCAAACAGCACTAATACGACGCCACCTGCTCGAGCTGACCCAGAGCTTTATGATACCGCTGGAGCGGTATATGGCCTCGCTAATGCCGCTGCAGAAGGACATTAGTCCGTTCAAGTCGGCGCCGAATGCCAGCAGCTTCAAGCTGGACGACTTCCTGGCCACACTGGAAACAGCTGGGCCGCAGCTAACATCGCCGCTGAAGGGCGACTGGAAGGGCCTCTACAGACGCTTCTTTCGTTCGCCCAACTTTCGCGGTTGGTATGGAGCGCGGCATCGAGAGCTGCAACTGACGCTGCAGGATCTCCAGCTGCAGGCGCTGTCGGAGGCGAATCTCGAGCACTGGGCGCACGACAAGCAGGAGGTGGAGATCATCGATATGATACTCAAGCTCAAGCAGAAACTGAATCTCTATGGCGACAAGGCCCAGCAGCTGGAGGGCATCAATGGCACGCAGCAGCAGATACGCGCGCAGATCGAGTGCATGAAGGGCTTGCTGCCGCCGGATCTCAAGAATGTGGTGAATCTCTGATCTTAGTGGCGCCCCCTCACTTTGGCTGCTCCACTTCTGCCCGGGAACTCCCGGCTGTCTGTCTGCTCTCCAGTGTGTTTGTGTGCCTCTGTGCGATGTGTTTGTTTTGCTTGCGTCCCCTGACGGCAGGCGGTGCTCTTTTATCATTGTAAATAAGTTTAAATCGGTTATTAGTCGCCGTATTCGTGTCTAGTTTAGTGCTAAAGTTATCCCAAGCAAGCGAAGTGAGTGTGTGAACCAAATGCCGAGCGATGAATGTTAGTCCAGGCCAAGTATTAAATGCAATCGTTGCGCTATCCCTTCCACCTTTTCACACCCATGCAAAACAATGCTCATGTCTCAAATGGAAAAGCTATGGCTACAAATCCCCAATCAAATAATACGAATTTCGTGGCCACAGCTTCAAAATACCTCGTTGGAGTTCTGAAGTTGGCGAGACATCTCCGCTGACCAATGTGATTTAAAGCCACTTTGTTTCGTTTCTTTTAAAGCCCTTGTGCAGATTTGCATGTATATCGCTTAAATTGTTCATGTCTATGACTGTCAAATATAAGTAAACTATGTGTGACATCAGCCAAATGCTGGATTCATGCATTGCTATTGTACGAATCTATCCAAGAATTGCAATGTGAATTCCAAAGTGTTTATTATCATATAAATATAAAACAAAAATACAACTTAAGCGATACATGTTGGGTTAAAGTGGAAAATGGATGCAGTGGTTCGATGGTTGATTCGTTGGAATGCGAGATTAGATGAGAAAGACAATGTCGTCGGCCACCATGATCTGATTGTCCTCGGTCATGCGATGCACGGCGGCCTCAATTTCGCCAGCGGTGAACGGCTCCTGGCTGCCCTCGTTAATGGCCGTGGTGATCCTGGCCAGCGCCAAGCTCTGTTCGCGTGCCTCGCGAAACAGGCGCTGCAAGTTGTTCTTGAACTCCCCCAAGCGGGCATTGCTTATGAAGGCCGGCTCCGTTGGCGGTGTGGCGGCAGCCACCGATTGCTCCTCACTGGAGCTGACCAGCTGCGCGGCGGCCGAGCGGGCGGGCAGCGAACGGCGGGTCTCGCGTCGCGTCAGATCGCCAGCATCCGGCTGAGGTGTCTCAATATCCTCCTCGTCACTGTCGGCGCCCACGGGCGCTGTGCGTGTCCGTTTGAAGCGAAGCGATGGTGATCGCTGGCTGGACGGCTCAGCGTTCTCATCCTCCGCCTCGGACTCGCTGTTCCGGCGTCGCTTGCTGCCGCGCTCCTTCTCCAGCACCTTCTTGAAGTAGGCGAACTGCACCAGCTCGATGGCCGCATGGGCATCCTCAATGGTCACCGATTTGGACATGCGTGCCCGGGCATGGGCGGTGGACAAACGGATCAGGGTCTCCAGTGTACGGGCCGTAATCGGCTGCGTGCGTGCCACGTCCGTTTCGACCGCCTCCTGGGAGCGCAGGCGGGAGTACTCGTTGGCAATGGCCTCGCAGGCCTGCTCGCCCAACTTGGGCTTCATGCACTTGGCAATGTGTATGTACTTGCGCATGAACTCCACGGACAGGATCTTCTCGTGGCGCTGGCGGGATTTGCCATGCAGCAAGGCATCGTACTTCTCATACACCTCGGTGTCTTTCTTCTGTGAATTCAATCGAGAGCATGTCAATCATTTCAATCCTTCATTTCTTTGCAAAACCCACCTCTTCGCTGCTGGAAACAAAGGACAACGAGTCCGCATAGGAGCTGCCCATGGACAAGGGCTCACCGTCGGTCTCCTTGGGATTGCGATAGCGATGCATGCGCACCACATGATCCGAAATCATCTGGTCCACATCGCTGTCAATGACGTCCAGCATAACGAAGAGCAAATCGAAACGGGATAGCAGCGAGTCCTGCAGTCCAATGTTTTCCATCGGCGTCTTGTACTGATCATACTAGAATGGAAGCGCCCAAATGAGCAGGAAATCGGATCGAGAATCGGGCGGTGAACTCACCCTTCCGTACACCGGATTAGCGGCAGCCAAAACGGAGCAGCGAGCATTGAGCGAGGCATGGATACCCGCCTTGGAAATGGTCACGCGTCCCTGTTCCATCACCTCATGGATGGCCGTGCGATCAATGTCGCTCATCTTGTCAAACTCATCGATGCAGACGACACCGCGATCGGCCAGAACCATGGCGCCCGCCTCCAGACGCCGCTCACCGGTCTCCTGATCCGTGGTGACCGCCGCCGTTAGACCCACGCCGCTGGAACCGCGACCCGTGGTCGGTATCGCCCTCGGTGCCGTATTTAACACGTAGCGAAGCAACTGCGACTTGGCCACCGAAGGATCGCCGATGAGCAGGACATTTATATCGCCACGCAGACGTGTGCCATTCGGCAGGATCTTCTCCACGCCACCGAGCAGCAGGCACAGGATGGCCTGCTTAACGTAAGCGTGGCCATGTATCGACGGTGCCAAGCTCTTGCTGAGCAGCTCAAAGATGTCGTTATTCTTGGCCAGCTTCTTGCACAGCATAATGTCCTCGCGCGATATGTCCAGATTGCTCTCCTTGCTCAGCAGCGATATATTGTTGGCCAGCAGCACGGTGCGGAACGTGCCCGAGGTGTAGCCACCGTGTTTGCCCGGCAAACAGCGATAGCTGCCCACAATCTGGACACGATCGCCGGGCTTGCATCGATCCACGAGATCGTCATCGCACACAATGTCCACCGAGCGGGGCAACTGGCCCGCCGGCGCCTTTTCCGGCATCTCCTGAATGGTCAGCGTCTGGTGGTCCTTGTAAACGGACAAGCCGTATTCGGTCTCCAGCAGATTGCCATCCTCATCCTTTGTGGGATAGGCGGCGCCCGAGGGCACAGCCTCAAAGGATGTGAGATCGGTGTATTTGCGCTCCATAACCTTGCGGGTATTGGGGCAATAGTGCACGCTGCGCACCACCTTGGGACGAATCAGCGATACCTTGGTGACAATGCCCTCCACACAGACCATGTTGCCCAGAAAGACGGAGGTCAGGGAGCGTGGCGTCACATGCCGATTGCCAAAGCAGCCCTCAAAGCCGACAAACAGATCCTCGTGCATTTTGGCATAGCCAGGATCCACGGTGGACGCATACTCCTTGAGCGCCCGGCCAAAGGCCAGTTGCTCATCCGCCGCATTGCTCAGCAGGCCCAGTGCTCGCTGCGGATTCTTGCGCTTCAGATCGTTGATGTTCACGATCAGGCGCTTGCTCTTTTCCGCGATCATGTCCTTGACGTGGCCCGCATAGATGCCCTGATCCTCCTCGTCGTCCAGAAAGTCCACATACTCGCGCTGTATGTCCTTGATGAACTGTTCCCCCTCGTGGGCCATTGTGCTGCTTCTATCAATCACGGCGTTCACTGGACTGTTTTGGAATTCCTCTCTGGAGCAGCTTCGACCCGTTCGCAGGCAAACACAAATGCAAACAAAACTAATGCCACAAATTGCACGCCGAATGCAAAAGTTTTTTTGGCGGGAACGGCGCAGTGTGACCAGGCGGTTGTGATGAATGCCTGCGCGGGCAAAATAATAATACTATTATATGGTTTTATATATTTGTTTATTTATACAAAGTACACTTTAGTTTGCCATCTGAAGCAAACTAACTGATATGTGCACTAGTATTTATGGAAATTCATGTGCAGCTTTATAATCAAAAGCGTTGCTACCAAACATGCATTTATATGCACTCCCATTTATAATAAAATTATAAGTTACTGCGAATATAATATATACAATAATAATAATATATATATATTAATTGCTTAAGAACAGAATAGTAAATACCTAATCCATTCATGATGTGGCGCTAAAAACGAATTATTACATACATATTGTGTATTCTCAATCGGATTTTATGACAGTTAAATGCTATGCATTTCTGCCTGCTCAAATAATCTAGATCCTTTGGCTATATAAAATGGGTATGGGCAGTATTACTATTTAAGCAGGAATAAGTTCAGTATTACTCATTAAATTGCTCATCGAGAATCTTCACTGTGCTGCTGGGCTGTCTAATACATACATATTACCTATTTTTGGGAGCTTCCAGTTGCTCATTCTTATTTAACAAGAGGTATATGATATATATGTGCCCTCCCAAAGAATCCAGCTGAAAAAGAGCTAAATTCAGTATTACTTCACACATTTTACATCACAAGTCTTCACTGTAGTGCTGGGTCCACCGCTATCGCCAGGGCTGGCGTAACTATCGAGTACGAGCAGTTATCGATGTCTGGCCCTAGGCACACTGCAATTACGAAAATAATTCACTTTATTTTTTGTATTTTTCCGGTTTTTCATGACAAAAACGACCAGTTTCCAGCGCTCGGAAACTCAACAAATAGCCAGCTTTCCCAAATAAAGTGACCAATGGACTATGCCCCAAAACCATAGGGCATCGCATTAACGCGATATTTGATTGGCCAACCCTGCGTTTGGCTTTTTGTTGTTTTTCTATTTACCTGGTTATTTTTTTGGGGGGGAAAATTACATTTAAGTGGAAAGCGAAGAGTTTTCCGCGAAAACAAGCTAAAATCATGGACAGCGACAAGCAGGTGAGTGCCAGCGAATGCCCCAAAAGGTGCCACACTCATGGCAATGCCAAATATTGCAGCTGGAAAGGCAGCTGGAGAAGGAGCTGGACGAGATGCCGGTGCAGGATTTGGACGACGATACCTACGATGAGTACGATCTGATTGTGATACCCGACCAGAGCAAGACATCGCCAAAGCGGGCGCACATCGATGCAGCGCAGCATGAAGCCAACACGGTCGCGCCAAAACTGGAGGAGCTGGGCCAACGCATGCGCCCCACTTGGCCACCGTCGTCCGCTGGCGGCGATATGACCACCATTGAGCTCATCTCATCGGACGACGAGCCGTCGGTGGAGGAGGCTGTGGGAGATGGTAGCGATGGCGCTGGCGGCGCGGGTAATGGTTCCACCAGCAGTAGCGATGATGTGGGCGTGATCGAGGATTCGGACAGTGAGATGTCCAGTGACAGCGATAGCGTAAACGGCGGAAATCAGTTGGAGCGTTCGTACGAGGAGCTGAATGCTCTGCCCAACAAACAGTTCGCCCAGATGGTCACCCTCATCGGTATCGCATTGTGAGTTTAATCGCCGTCTTTGCATTTTCAAGTGGCATATTTAATTATTTAATGTTCATACTTGTTTCGCAGCAAACTGAATGACCTGGAGAAGATCGAGTCGTCGGTGCTGGCCCTGCAAAAAGTGGCCACTGTGCCGGCTCACGTGTGGCTGAAGTATCTCAAGGCCCGCCTAGTTGTCACCCAGACGGAGGACGAGCGCAAGGCATTCGAGGAGAAGTGCGCCAAAGCCTTGGGCTACTACTACAGTATGTGAAAGAATCCACCTTTAGTGCATAGAAAATCCTATTAATGTGTTACTTATCCAGACATACCGCTCTCCGAATACATTGTGAATTACCTGGTGGATCAGGGCAACGTGGAGAACCATGTGCTGTGGGCCAAACTGCTGGCGGACTACGACGTTGAGCGTCCAGACTTTGGCGACAAGCTGCGCACGCTGCTCACCACAATTAGGGACGAAAAGGAGGCCGCCGCCTTCGAGGAACTGCTACAGAAGCACTGCGTCAGCTGGAAGTGCAGCCAGGAGCAGCGACAGATTATCAAGCCCGTCGTGGACGAGTTTAAGCGACATCTGGACGAGATTGGACGTGGTTGGGACTGGTCGGAGACCTACAAGCGCCATGTCGTCGATGTGGAGGCGTTATCCCTCGATGATGACCTTAAGAACGCTGTTATCCGTTTCATATTTGAGCGCTCGGTGGCCAAGTTTCCCATTGTCGATGTGCTGTGGCTATCCTACATCGAATTCATCCAGGGCGATGGCGGCAGTGTGGCGGAGGATGAGGAAACCGCCGAATTGGCAGCCAAACGGACCAGCCGGTTGAGCAAAGGTTTCCTGCGCAACACGGCCCTGGATTTGGCCATGCGTGGTGTGCGCAGTCGCCCCAGTGTGCGACTGAATCACCGATACCTCGACCTGATGGAGCGTGCCGATTTTGAGCAGCCGGAAGTTGATCAACAGATACGCGCCATATTGCAGCGCATTGTGCCCGACATGGACATGACCGTGGAGCTGCACCTGGACTATCTGGCCTACTGTGTGCGCAACACCAATGCCGGCGACGAGGAGCAGGCCGCCAGTCTGCGTGCCGCCTTCAATCGCGTGTGGGAAGAGCTATCCGCGCTCTACGGCGACGAGGCGGACACCAGGTACGAGGTGCTGCAACTGTGGGCCCAAGTGGAGTACACGCACCTGGCCAGTCCGGCCAATGGCTGGCACATTTGGCGCCAGATAATGGGTAAGCGATTGCTGTCACACATGAATCAACGCACACAACCTATATAAATCTCGTGCACTTCAGGTTATCCGGGCAGCTCGCATCGCGGCCTGCTTTGGCTGGGCTTCGCCCAAATGGAAAGCGAATACAATGCTGGCCAGGGCACACGCGACGTTCTCCGCGAGGCGCTCTCCCAGCCCGTCCTGGAGGATGGCATCATGGTGCAGGAGCTTTACCGCCGCTATGAACGATGTTATGGCACCTACGAGTCCATTGCCGCCTGCCAGGCCCTCGATCTGCCCGCTGAATATATGAAGCCGCGTTCCCGCATCAAGCCCCATACTCAGTTGGCCAATTCTCGCCCACAGAAGCAGCAGCAGCATCACCAGCAGCAGCAGCAGCCTCGCCAGCAATCACAATCGAATCGCGAGCCACTGAATCGCGAGCAGCGACGTCGCCAGGCGCACGAACAGCAACAGCAACTGAAGCAGGGCAAGAAGAGGCCACTGTCCACACAGGCGGCCAAAGCAGAGACATCCGGCGGAGCCTCGCAACCAGCATCGAAGGCCAGGGAGCCAGCCAATGCGCAACCAGATGCAGAGGCCAGGGAGTCGAACTTTAAGTACTCGCGTGAGTCGCAGGCGTTTAGCACAAGTTTCATGCACGTAATTGAGTTTGTTTTCTTTAGCCAACATGGAGATCAACAAGATCTTTGTGAGGAACCTGCATCCCGCCTGCAGCAAGGAGGAGTTGCACGAGCTGTTCTCGCCCTTTGGCAGCATCAAGGATGTGCGCCTCGTGCACAAGCTGTAAGTGGTGGACCACAAGTGGGATTCTCTAATCAGCTAACAAGTGATTGTATCCTCCTCCACAGAAACAAGCAGTTCAAGGGCATTGCATACGTGGAGTTCGAGAAGCCGGGAGAGGCTCAGAGAGCGGTGGCTGGACGCGACGGTCACCTGCTGAAGGGCATGAATGTGAGCGATTATACCAACATGTTTCTTTTACCTCAACTAATGCATTAACAACTCATACAGATTTCCGTGGCCATTTCCAACCCGCCGCCGAGGGGCTCAGCCGCCGATGTTGCCAAGCCCAGTGTGGCGCCCAAGAGACGTGTGCCCACCTCGCTTATACCAACGAGTCTGGTGCGCCAGGAGGTGGCCGCCAAGAAGCGACGCTTGCTGCTGGTCGAGCCAGGCACATCAACGGCTGGCGAGGCCACCGAGCCCGAGGCTAATGGCGCATCGGTGGCCAACGTGGAGCAAAAGGCGGAAGAGCCAACTGCTGCGCCCAAGTCAAACGATGATTTTCGCAAGCTGTTCCTTAAGGATTAGGCCACAAATGCCGGCGGCTGAGCCTGGTGCCAGCAGCGATTGGTAGTTTGCAGTCGCGGACGAAGATTCGGAGCTTACATTGTTAGTTTTAAGACAACCTTAACTGAACCGATGGGCTGGAGTTGTGTACAAAGTGAAGCAGACCTAAGACAATGATTTTTTTTCCGACACATAATTGGTTTTTAAGTGCGAGCCATGTAAACAAATGACGATCATACGAGTGAATCTCGCATTTGTCGAGCTTGTTCGAAGTTATGCAAGTTGTGCATGTGTCAACTGATCGAGTTGAGTAATCTTGGCCAGAAAACGCCATTTGTTGTCTACGAAATAAAATGTCGAAATAAAATGTACAAAAATCGAGTTGATGATCTTTCGAATTTATTGAATAACTACTAGGTGCGGAACTTGACGCTCTTGGTGACGGTGGCCTTGATGCCGGACATCTCGCCGCCGTAGCGCTGCAGCTCCTTGCGAACCGTGCGCACGGCTCCCTTGCGCCGGATGAGCGCCTTTCGGTATTTGCCGCGGTGCTTGACCCGCGGATTGCGCAGCTCCTTCTTGCGGTGCGGCGTTAGGCCCTTGTTCTTGGCCATCTGGTAGGTGATGCCGCGTCGGGCATCCTCTTCATCCTCCTCCTCCTCCCCATCCTCTTCGTTCAGCTCCTCAGCCAGATCCTTCTCCTGACCATTCGCCTCCTTGCCATCAGCGTCATCCTCATCATCGGAGCTGACTTCCGCCTGCTGTCCACCGTTGTACTTGTTCAGGATCTGCAGCTTGGCCTTGCGCTGTGCCACATCGAGCACAGTGAATGCATCGCCATCCTGTATCCTCTCCAGCAGCGCCTCCAGCTGCGGCCTTATATACTCTTCGTAGCGCGGCTTGAGCTGCTCGATCAGTTGCTTGAGCTGCACCAGCCGCTTGACAACCGGATGGAACTTGACGCTGCTGCGACGCGCCTTTAGCAGCAGATAGAATGCCACATTCGAGCAGTAGGTGGTGAGCACGGTGTGGAAGAGTCTGGCGTACTGCAGGGCCGGCACCATGGGCACATCGTGATTCCTAACGTAATTGAGCACCGGTGTAATTAGGTCCTTGACCTCGTCCAAATGCTGCTGAAAGTCCTGGGTGAGGCCCATGAACTCCGGCGAGTCCTTGTGCAGCAGTTGACGTCGCTCGCGTGCCGTCAGGCCGGTCAGGTCGGTGGTCACTTTGGTTATCTCGCCCGCCACCTGCTCGTCATCACTGCTGGCTGCCGACGCAGCTTGGACATCGTCCAGCTGGAAATCGGCCTCGCTCAGCCGCTTGGCCAGGCGCAACTGGATCTTTTTGGCCTCCTCCTCCTCGGCGCGGGCCTGCTCCTCCTCCTGGGCATTGTAGCTGCTGTAGTCCTGGTCCACAAAGTCCGTGTTGTAGTATGTGCTCCGTTTGCTGCCCCAGTCCATTGTGTTGGGCAGATCGCGATCATCGTCCTCGGCCCCCTCGATGTCGCTGTCGCGCATCAGTTCAGCCACATCGTCCTGCTCGGCATCCTCGTCGTCGTCGTCATCATCTTCACTGAAACCAAGCACTTCCTGGACGGGATCGTGCGGCTTTTTGCGCTGCTTGCGCAGATCCTCGAGTATCTCGCGCTCCTCGTCATCGTACTCCTGCTCGGAGCCGGTGAGGTCGTAGTCGTCGCCCTCGCTGTCCATTTCTCTGACCGCACTCAGTCCGTTTAAATACAATTTAAAACTATGTACAACAAAATGAAACACAACACGTGCGTAAACAAACGGCTCGATAACAAGTTCGATAGGCTCATGTACCAGGTGTGGTGGATTGGCCACATTGGCCTGTTTGCCCTCTCTAGGTTGCAGCTTACTGCGGCGTTGCCACACCGACAAAGTGTCACAATTGAACTTACAGTTATAAAAAGAAGGCACAAGAAAATGGAGGGCAAAAATCAAAATCACTCGAAAGCGAATCTTAAAAATATTTTGGAAAACAATGCGGCTAAAAATGAATTGGCCGCCGATTTGCGCTGCTCGCGTGCCAAAATGCTGCTTTTGCAAATGGACGCCGACAAGAATGACGGTCAAAGCGACTATGAAAATGTGCGTGTTTGAATCTGTATGTTTTATGCTAGAAATACTAATCATTTTGCACTTAAGGTCGCTCCCCAGCCCAATAATAACGATCCCGCTAAGCCGGCTGACCAGGTAGGCAAACACACGTATGTGGCACTGCAGAACCACGAGATCACCCATCTTCGTTCGCAGGGAGAAATACTCGAAAATCCGCAGCGCAGGAGCAAGAGCAGCCGCGGCAAACAGATGCACATCTGTGCCAGAGATTTGCCCAAGAAGGTTGGTAATCTGACCTTACAGTAGCCAGCGTATATGTCCCACTATGTACCATCGTATACACACCCTTTTCAGCCGTGCCCGCCGCCCAGGGACGAAGCCTTCTCCATGTGCACCGGCAAACGTAAGGTTCTGGACTCCATAGCGGCGATCGAGCAGCGGGCTGCCATCGGCCAGGCGAGTGGTGTCCACGGGCGCAACCATAACAAAGAAATTCCGCTCCAGAATGTCGCAAAACCCATTGCTGGTCCTTGGCCACAGCGCCGGCGCGCCAGCTATGTGAAATATCGCCGCCCAGTGATGTTTCAACCGAAGCAGGAACTTCGGTTGGGCAGCAAGGAGTGCGCGTTGAACGCCAGCACAGTCCAGCTAATACCCGAATTCGAAGGCGACTACGTGCAGGAGTGGCTAGAGAAGACAGCGCCATTCCTGGACCACACTGTTCGCCAGGAAGCTGCGGCAGCGAAGGCACTGCAAGCAACGCCATCGGCATGTTCAGCTAGCGACAGCGACGATGCCGTCGAGGCAGACTTGTCAGATCTGCTGACCTACATGTCGGATGCTGAATTAGCGGAGCAGGTTGGAAAGCCCCTTGTTGGCAGCGCAGAGTTGTGCTCGGCGTTTCCGGACAGCTGTGTGGTCAGTTTGTGTGCGTGAAATGGTTTAATGATTACAGTCCAACTCTTTGTACACCATGCAGACGGATGCCATATTAACGGCGGACAGACCCAAGGATGCTGTTCGCCTGGGCCAGGCGCTGCCGCCACTGAATGTGCAGGATTGCTGCGAGGAGGGTGACTTCATCGGGATCTCCGTGTGCAAAGTGTACAGTCCTTTTCAGTTCTGGTTTCACTTTGTGCCACCGGTTGATGGCGACGATCCGCTGGCCGAGCTGAGCAACGAAATGAAGTGAGCCTGCTACCCGGTTGATTGACAACGACTGATTATATACAAATCCACAGCACTTTTTACAATCATGCGGTGAATCCGGCGTACAGGACACAGTTGCCCAGCTACTTTCACAAAGCCGATTACATATGCGCCGCCGAACATGGCACTGGCTGGCGACGTGCCCGAGTGCTGTACACCGCGCCCAAAGAAGCCGCCTGGCTGCACATATACCACGTGGACTATGCGACTTCGGCCGAATTGTCGCCGAGTAAATTGAGATTTCTGCCGGAACGCTTTGCGGATATGCCGATACAGGCTGCTCGCGGCACCCTATCCCACATACAGCCATTGGGCATCCACTGGCCACCGGATAGCACAAGTTACTTCAAGAGTTTGGTTTACCACACAAAGCTGCACGCCCATGTCATCCAACTGGACGCGGCCGAGGGCATACTCTTCATGCGACTGTCGCAGACCGAGAAGTTTGCGCCCTCGATCAACAAACTGTTGGTCGAGGGCGGACTGGCTACGATTAGCGAGAACTACAGTGAGGCGGTCATCAAATTCAACTGCGGCAGGAGGCTACGCTACCTACGCGAGCGACTGCCCAGGTGGGATTCATATTGTGATTGAACTGCGATTGATTTTATTTTGTTTTATAGCTTTGAGATGCTCGAGTCGCGAACGATACCACTGAATGACGAAGAGTTCGAGAACTATTTTGATAGCATCATCTATAACCCCTCGTTCCACAACGACTTTCAGCTGCCGAAGCTGAAGAATCCCATCCTCAAAGCGCTGACCGCCTGGATGCCCGGCTATCGCCACGAGCAGGAGCACTGGCGTCGCATTTACAAGCAGGCGGACCAGAAAGTGTTGGAGGCTCGTCGGCGGGCCAAAGAGGCGCTCGGTGAGTCGCAAGAGGAGGTGCACGCCGATCCGGGTGGGCAACTGCAGCAAGGAGCTGGGAACCAGGACGCGAGTAACCAACCAGAAGTGAAGCTAGAAGCTGCAGCGCCACAGGAGCAGGAAAAGGAGGAGCTAGAATCTGGAAACCAAAGCGAAAAAGACACTGACACACAAATCCTTATGTAGACAACCTCCAAGGAGCGCATGGATCCAAGGGATCAACTGCATAATTTTACAGAAAACTTGACAAAAAGCTTTTGCCTTTCTTTTCGTTGTTTTTTTTTGTTTGCGTTTTTTTTTTTTTTGGCTGTTTTTTTTTTTTGCTCATACCTTAAATTTTATTACCAAATAAAGAAACGAAAAGGTTGTGTAAATTTGGATGTTGCCTCGATACCTTCGGCTGCTAGCTGGAAATAAGTGATTTTGCAGCCGGCACAGATGCTGCCATCAAATTTGGCATTTGGAATGCAACAATCGTTACCTGGGCAGGGCAATCGTGCTGCAGTGCATCTAACGCGGGCCTGTTTCAGTGAACTTGATGGCGGACAGCAGGAGTTGGTAGTTGGTGGACGGGAATGGCTCCTCCTCCGCCTGCGTGGCCGCATCATTCGGCGGCTCGCAGTACATACGCTGTGGAGCAGATGGCGGCGGTGTCAACTCGTCGTCGTTGCTGGAATCACAGCTCCTGGGCACATGGGGTGGCGGTGCGGCGGGATAATTGGTGGGGATGTTGGGAAAGGCACTGAACCAGGGCAACACCTGATGCCATCTGCTCGAGTTGGACAGCGAATCCTGCTGCAGCTCATCGTCCAGCTGCGGCGGCACTGTGCCACTGGGCTGATGCGATGCTATGGTGGCGGAGTAGGAGCAGGAAGCCACCTGATCCTCGCATGGGGGCTTCACATTCACTGGCGATGTAGCTGCCGTGACCAACGTGGCAGTGGTGCGATTGCTGGCAGTGGTGACAGTGGTGCGAGTGGTGTGCCTGGTGGTATTCGTCGTCTGCATGCCCGTCGAGTTGAAGGATACTTGGGATACGTGGGAGCGCCGCACTGCTGGCGTGCCCTTGTGCAGCATACGCAGGCTGCGCTGCAGTTCCTCCTCCTCATTCTCGACCTCCCGCCGACCTCGCAATTGGCGCCGCATCTCGCACATTTGGCGCTCCTGCTCGCTATCCACATCGTCCATCGATGGCGTTAGCCAATCCTCCGAATGGAAACTCTGCTCGGAGTACGTGCGCCGCACGCCTTCAGTTTGCAGACTATCGCCCTGGTCCCGCAGCTGTCCATCCACCGATTCTCCGCCACTGGTCACAGCCAGCAATCGCATCTGACTGGGCGTCAGTTGGCGGTATTCCGGATACAGATGACTTGGCCTGCAGCCCAACGGCAGTGGGGGTAGAGGATTTTAATGTTGTATAAATGCCAGGTGGTGTGGAGGTGTGCACCCAATTCCCGACCAAAATCCCATGGATTCTATACTCACCTGACGTCCTGCCTGGGCAGCTGCTGCGTTATGGGCACCTGGGAATTGGCCTGCGGAAGGGAGTGCCTGGCCACCGTCTCCGCCGTCGCCGCCGCTGCCGCCGTCGTCGCCTGTCGCTGGCGGAGGAGCAACAATCGCTGCATATTCTGGCGCGACTGATCATTGCCGTAGGTGATCCGCTTGGCGGCCCGCTCACGTCGCTCCACGGCCGCACGCCGGGCATTGGTCGCCGCCTGCATTTTGGCCGTCATCCGGAGCTCGCTGCGCAGGAAACCGCCGGTGCCGGCCTCGGACATTTGGCCATTCCGACGCGATATCTCCTGGCCCAGCAGCCGCGCTTTGGCCAGCGTCTCCATGCGCTGCACGTGCATCCGCTGTTGGGGCGTGGTGTTTGCCAGCCTGTTGGCATGCTGTTGCCTCCGGCGGGTAATGCGTCCGCCGGCTAAACTGGCTGACTGGCCAACACCATGAACGCCACCGCCACCGCCACCACCATCAGTACCATTAGCACCAGCAGTACCAGGAGTACTGTGAATTGGTGGCGTTGTGCCGCTGCTGGCGCCACTGGACGTCGACGGACCGCCGCCCACGTTGATCACCTCGATCTCGCGAAAGAGCCGCTTCAGTCGCACCTGCCGCATCTTCAGCTCGATGGTGCGATCGTTGAACTCCTGGATGCGCTCATACTCATCCCTCAATCGCTGCAGCTGGCCATTCTTCTTGCTCTTGTTGAACATGCGCCGAAAGTAGGGCGTCGATTTGATTTGATACGACGACATGGTGTGTGGGGTTTTGGTTTCTATATTTTGCACTTGATTTTCGATTATCTGGGAGAATTTGGAAATTTCCTAAATTTTTCCGAAATGTTTTTATTTTGTGTTTGATTTTGTAATTGGTTCTTTTTCGGAATATTTGCTATCGAAAGTGATTTTTTTTTGTTTGTTTCGTGTGTGTGTGTTCCCAAGTTTGGTTAGCAAATGTCTGCTGCAATGTGGAATGCCTACTGACATGAATGCCCAACGCCTACTAGGCATCCATCTACATGGACTTACATGGACTACTTGATTGCTGAAAGCAGGCAGCCAAATCAGAGGAGTTACATGCTTGATTCTAGTCAGAGTGGTTACAATTTATTGATCGAATTGCTTAGTGGCTGATCTTAAAGCTATTTGGAAATGGGAGGCCATGTCGCAGACAGGCCTCCATTGCCAACAAATCGTACACATTACGTTAGTTATCAGCAGCATTGAGTTAAGGTCATCCACTGGTCATTCTGGTGGCCACACGCGCATCTCCTGCTCCCACATCGCTTACAAGCTAAACATCACATGAACTTACATACATTGAATACAGTTAAGACTAAATGGTTAAGACGAGTTACATAAAGAACACAATTGGTGCGAACATGGGCTAAAAGATGAGTAAAATCAAAGAAAAAATCCTGTGCTGAGCCAGCTCCTTCGAAAACCAATCGACTAATCCTGTGCTGAGCCAGCTCCTCCGAATGATGAGATGCTGGACGTACTTAAGCCTTCACCAGCTTGGCCATCATGTTGGTCAGCTTGTGCTCGTCGGCGCCGGAGAAGGCGGCCAGCCGGCGATTGTTGCGCAAAAAGACGAAGGTGGGCATGCTGCGGACCTTGTAGCGTTCCGTCAGCTCCTCGAACTTGTCCACATCGATCTTGAGGACGATCGCCTTGCTGGAGTACTTTCTGGCCAGCGATTTCACGGTGCCCTCCATGTCCTTGCACGGACCACACCACTTGGCATAGAAGTCCAGCACGATCAGCTTGTCGTCGGCCGCCTCGATGCGTTTCTGGTAATCGTTCATGGTGCGTACGGATGCCATTTCTTGCGAGGATCAGCAAATTGGTTCTTGGGCGTGTGCAAATATTGCGTGCAGGCTGTTGGCGCTTTCGGAGCGAAATGATGAACTGATTGAAATGGCGTCGCCATGGGCGCTTTTATAGGGCTCTCCAAGGGCGACGGAGACTGGAATTCGCGCCAATTTGTTCGCTGAATTCGCATTTTTTGAGCCTCTCGCGTGGGCGCAGAACAAAATGGCGGACGGTGGAGAGCGAGAGAGAGAGCAAAATGGCCGCCGTGCCGGTGCTGCCAGTCGTTCGAAAAAGCCAACCAAGGCTACACACTTATTCACCACGGCACAACTTATCGTAATCGATTTTAAGTTCGCTATTATGCGCAATATTAAGAATTATTGCTGCAAACGTATATAATGGGCATATATAACAGAGCAAATATAGCTAAGTAACTATTACTGCGACTCTTTTTTATTATTATTATTATATATATGTAGCTAACTTGGGGTATAAAACGATAGGCAAACTAAGCGACTGTTATTCATTGGGCAGTGCCAACATATCTTGTAGAATCTCAAACACCGTTCGATTGTGTGGACTTCTGTGTGTTGCTGGCACTCAAATGATACAGCGCCAACATTTTGAGCGCGACTGTTTCAGTGTTGCCACAGCCATGTTGAATACCAAGCTTACTCACCCCAACACACCATACCGCTGTCATTTGAAACACTTTTTTCCAATCCCAGTAGGCTTCGAGGAATTTGGCTAGGATTGTATATAAGACCGACTGCCGCCGAACATTTTTTCATTTCGGGCTGATATCTCGGTGAGAGCAGACGTTGGGCTCCAAAAATTCTAAAGTAAAAAAAATAAAATAAAACCAAAGAATCAAGTGAATTTTCGGAAACCAAACACGATTTTCTAAAATAGTTTCTTTTTTTTTGTTCTTTTCTTTTCTGTTTTCAACTCGTTTTTTTAGTTGCAATCATGGTGTACCTGGTGAGAACCAAGGACGATCTCGACCAGCAGCTCTCCCTCGCCGAGGATAAACTGGTGGTGATTGATTTCTATGCCAACTGGTGCGGACCGTGCAATATTATTGCCCCCAAGCTGGAGGAGCTGGCCCAGCAGTACTCGAACCGTGCTGTCATCCTCAAGGTGAACGTGGACCAGAATGAGGACATTACAGAGGAATACAATGTGACCAGCATGCCAACATTTGTGTTCATCAAGGACGGCAATGTTCTCGAGGTTTTCGTCGGCTGCAACGTCGAGAAGCTGGCCAAATCCATGGAGAAGTATGCCGGCGGCGATCCAGTTCAATTATCCGACCAGCTCCTCGAACCGGATGATCCGATCGCCATCTCCAGTGACAGCGACAACGATGTGGTCGTGTGTGAGGTGTCTGCCCAGGATCAGACCGTGCTGGAGCACTAGATTCACTCTCAAGCCAATGTATGTATATCCACCAGTGTAGGAGAGTGCCCATAACCATGTTCCATGCTCCTACAGATACTTCATGTGAGGCGGATATGTGCTGTCGTTCAACTTTACACAGTTCTACACTTCTACACACGCGTACATCATTCGTAAATATGGCAGTACGGTAACAACAAATGCAACACACACAACACACACACTAGACACTGCACACTACACACACACTGTGTACACTCATGAAATGTGATGCTTGGACTCTCGAATGCATTCAAATGGTTGTTGATTGATGTTGCGGCGGCGGAGGACGTCCAATCAAATCTACACACTAATATCTTCCTGGGCATCCTAGGACTTATGTGAAACAGCACATACACACACCAGTGGATAGCAATATGCTGACGATGCTTACACTCTGGGAAAAATTGTGGACTTGCGACGGCCGATACCAAAGTGTGGACATATGCTTTTCTATATATGCTCATGCTAATCTCTTAGTACATTAAATGGAAATATGTACAATCGACCGACAATGTGAATTGAAATGCACATTAATAGTTATTTTTGTTAACACATAACAAATCGGAGGGCGAAACAAATACAAAGCAAGAAACAAAATGTTAGCCACAACAACTATTCATTAATGGCTGAGGGGGAGTACAAACGGATAAAGGAAAGCAGTTCCCTGTATGTGGTATATATTGATTTATTCTATACTTTAAATTATAATTGGGAGTTGCTGGAACAACCGGCGAGCGGCGACATTCTACACCTGGATCCGTGTATGCGCTGCGCTCACTTCTTGGCGAACGTGATCTTCATGGCGTGCGTCGGCGTGATCTTGAAGCCCTGCAGCGCCTCCTTGGCAGCATTACTCTGCAGCTCGGTGGTGAACTCCACGAAGGCGATGTCGTGGCGATTCGGCACAAGGCGCACCTCCTTGAAGCCAGGGAACTGGTTGAACAGCATGGACAGCATCATCTCGTTGGTCTCCTCGGGCAGATTGGTGAGGAAGAGGATCTGGTTGGGCGGCTGTTCGGTCTGTGTGTTCGGATTCGAGTTCTCAGCGCTGCTCGGCTTCTTTTTCTTGTCCCTGTGCGGCAGAAAATGGAAGAAAACGGAGTTGTATTAGTTGCAACTGTGTAATGACTGGCATCTTTTTGACATTCCTGTGGCAAATGTGTCAAAACTAATGCTTAGACAACTAAGACTACTACACTTATTTTTCGTGCAAGGAACAAATTTTTGAACTGGAACATAAATCGCAGCAAATGAAGAGCGTAAAGGAGTTGAGAACTGGAGGGAGGATTATTTGGAAGCAACTCTATAATCCTAAAAGATGGATGGGAAGGGGCCAAATTAGCATAACCGAATGCAAGGGGGATACTCACTTCTTCTCCTCGGCACCTGGCGCCGGTTTCGGTGGCTTGATCTTCTTGGGGCGCTCCTTGAAGGTACCATTCAGCTTGGCCACGATATCCGAATCGGACTTGGAGTAGGCGATCTGCATGGGCTTGTCGTAGAAGGGGAAGCCCTGCATGGTGCGCAGGGCGTTCGAGGCGCTACCAATCTCCTTGAAGATCACAAATGCCTGGCCGCGCATCTTGAGCGTTTTCAGTGCCACAATGTCCAGGATTTGGCCGAATTGCGAGAAGATCGCATAGAGCGACTTCTTCAGCTCCTCCTTCTTGATCTTCTCGTTCAGATTGTTGATATATATCGTCTGGTTGGGGCGCACGTCCATGCTGTTGGTCTTTTATTCAATTAAAGCGACAAAAACAAGCCAATTCTCTATATTCTTAAGTAAAAAAACGAGTCTGTCATCGATAGCAGAAGGCATTGTTTGTGGGGCTTATCGATATGTTATCGCACCGGTGTTTGGCAGTGTGGTAAAATGGCACATGGCAAGAAGTAGGTAAAAGGATCTAATTTAATTTGCATCTTATTGCATATTATTTGTTTAAATTATTTATTTATATTTTATATTTAATTTAACTTCACGATTGAGTCGCAATAAGTGAACAACTCGTTGTGTTCGTTATTGTTGAAAAACTCTAACATCTAGTATTTTTTTTTTGGTCTCTACGCAACCACCAACCGGCGTCTATCGAATATCGGACATCGATAGCGTGTGCGAACTTGAATTGTTTTGTTTTGGCCTCGCGGCATTTCTGTTATTTTCGTGTTATTTATGAGGCTCTCCAACGATGCTGCCCAATGCAAATGACAAAAAGGACCGATATGCCAAGCTGTCCTTCCTCGGCGAGGGCCAGGTGAGTCCAACGCCATGGTATACCAACCAAAAAGGCCATTGCATTGTGGGCATTCAACTTTCGCCTTGCAGTTTGCCATTGTCTACAAGGCGCGAGACACGGTCACCAGCCAAATTGTGGCCGTGAAGAAGATCAAGAAGGGTTCACGCGAGGATGCCCGTGACGGGATCAACAGGACAGCCCTGCGGGAGATCAAGATACTGCAGGAGCTGCAGCACGAGAACATCATTGGCTTGGTGGACGTTTTTGGCCAGCTATCCAATGTGTCGCTCGTTTTCGACTTCATGGACACCGATCTGGAGGTGATCATCAAGGATAACAAGATCATTCTTACGCAGGCGAACATCAAGGCGTATGCCATCATGACGCTGAAGGGTCTGGAGTATCTGCATCTCAATTGGATTCTCCATCGCGATTTGAAGCCAAACAATTTGCTAGTCAACAGCGATGGCATACTGAAGATTGGCGATTTCGGCTTGGCCAAATCCTTTGGCTCGCCCAATCGCATTTACACCCACCATGTGGTCACCCGCTGGTATCGTTCGCCGGAATTGCTCTTTGGCGCTCGACAATATGGCACCGGTGTGGATATGTGGGCTGTCGGTTGCATTTTGGCAGAGCTTATGTTGCGGGTGCCTTTCATGCCGGGCGACTCGGATTTGGATCAGCTCACCCGCATCTTTTCGACACTGGGTACACCATCGGAGGCGGAGTGGCCGCATTTGAGCAAACTGCACGACTATCTGCAGTTCCGCAACTTTCCGGGCACCCCACTGGAGAATATCTTCACCGCCGCTGGCAATGACTTGATCCACTTGATGCGCCGCCTGTTTGCCATGAATCCGCTGCGGCGAGTGTCCTGCCGCGAGGCACTGAGCATGCCGTATTTCGGTAACAAGCCAGCACCCACAGTGGGCCCCAAGTTGCCCATGCCCTCGGCCATTCTGGCCGCCAAGGAGGGCGCCAATCCGCAGGCCGGCGAGGCGAAGCCCGTGCTCAAGCGCAAGCTGGTTGAGACGACGGTGAGGGGCAATGGCTTGGCGCAGAAGAAGCGGCTGCAGTTCTAGCACACACTAAGGTATCACACATGCTTAAAATCAGTCAGTTAACACACAATTTCCATTATACCTTAGATGTTTGTGATAGCGTTACGTTTTTCACCCAAGAGATTCACAAGAACTTGTCATATACATTTAGTTCTTGCTATGCTTAAAGGATGCATTGCATTCTTGAGACAAGTCACACGTTATCTCTTATACCTTAAATACCTATAATTTACCATTTATATTCTCTTGTAATCACATATATCTTGAATCGGTTTCGCTCCTTCAAAACCTCTATTCTATTCCAATGTATATGATTTTGCTTTGCTTGTGGAAAAATGTAGCCGCTAAATTTTGCCCATTGCAAACCATTTCCCCATCCAAGAGTGGAGAAAAACTCAACATGAGAAGTTAAGAGTATGCTTAAGATGAGGATGATCTATTAAAGATGTGATTCAAAGCGAAGCAAAATGCTTTGTCCTTTTATCAGAAACTAAGTACATAGGATCCAAATAGCTATGTATATATCCTGGTAGCCTGCGTGAAAGTTGTTTCTGTGAACGTTCCGGATATTTCCGACAACCGATTCCCAAACAAGCCATTCGACGCACATCGGAAACTCGAAATTCTCAGCGCACATTTCGGTCAGTGTTTCCTTTTTAATTTCGTTACCGTAACCCAAGATTTGCCGTATTTGGTGTTCCGTTTTGGACTAAACCATGTCGAAGGCGCAGCAGCTGATGGCCAGGGACCAACTGGCGGCCATGGCGGAGGAGGAGGCGCGTCGTAAACGCGTCGAAATGCGTCAAAGTTATGGTAACAAGTGCTCCAGCATAAATCTGAACAGGATGCGCCAGAAGCACACAACCAGTGGTGGCGATCTGATCGCAACCAAAGCATCTGCAATGGAAGCTGCCGCCCACAGCAAAGCGCCTGTGAAAGGCATTGCAGACGCGCCGGCGATCAAGGAGAAGGACCCCTCATTGCGTCGCATTGCCTCCAGCTTTGCCCACGTACGGGATGTGGTCAATGGCAGTTCCGACGCCTTGCCCCTGGAGGATTGCGAGGACGATGCACGCGAGGAGCGCGCCGAGGTGCTCATCTGCAGTCAGACAATGCCGCTACCCTCGCCCGGTGACAGCGATGAGCTGCCCCTTGACTTGCCACCTGGCAAATCTCAGCCTGACTTTGAGTTTGAGCCTCAGCTTGAGCCTGAGTTTGGGGCTGAGTTTGGGCCTGAGTTTGAGCCTGAGTTTGAGCCTGAGTTTGAGCTCCCAAACAAAGACGCTGTCGCCAAGGCTGCTGACCTGGCGGCTTCTCTCAAGCTGTCCGAACAAATACCCGATGCACTGCACACCGAATCTCGTGCCTTCGAGCGCTGGCAGCAGCTGGGCAGCACGGTTTCTGCACTGTTCCGTGCCCGGCGGTACATGGACACGGAGGAGACACCGATGGCACAGACCCGACGACTGAGGGAGCAGCGCGAACTGCTCGAGGCCTTCACCCGGCCCTTTCTGTACAACGCCTACAGGAGGGAGTAGTGAATGCCGGCAAAACGGAGCCAACCCCCCAATCCATTCAAATTCAAACAAATCCCAGCGCATTGTGTTCGATTAAATTCAATTCATTGGATCTTGCGTCCGTTCACAACGTCATCCTTCGCATGGGGCAATGGGTGGGCAGCACAGCTGTGTCACGCAATCCGGTGTGGTGATGGTGTCGTTTGGCAGCCGGACTAGTAGCAGCGGCATCTGTCCGGTGGGCACTCCGATTCGTAGTTGAGGCACTTGTCCATGCAGTAGGTGTCGGCTCCTTCCTGGCCAGCATACTCGCCAATGGCCACGCACTCCTGACTGTACAATTGAGGCAAGTTTAGATACGCATTGGACACTGGACACGTATACTTACGGACACTGGCAGGCGTCCTCCGGACAATTGGGCGGATAGCGCAGGCAGTTGATCTCGCACCAGTTGTCGATGCCCGGCAATGTGCGAAAGGCTGGGGCACCTATGCACTTCTGGTCGCTAAAAGAAACCAATAGCAATGCCACACATAATGACTAGGCCAGTGAATGAAATGGAATCGCAGCAGTCCTTGAAAAGCCCACTTGAAACACTCTGATTCAAGTGCCAGCTCCCTGTCGCTGTGCCTGTGCTCGTTTCACCAGTCAACTACAATTCCGGGCCAATAATATACAATATACACAGCTCGTCAACACAATCCGCACACAAACCGGCAGCGAGAGAACTCAGATGTCGCAGCAGATCGCTGGAGAGGAGCAATCACTATGAATCGCAATCGAATCAACCAGATGCGGCAAATGGACCGGGGTCAGGAGGGTCTGCAGCAAGTCATCCAAATTCAGCGTCAGCAGGGTCAGCTGGGCAACCAGCACAACCAGCAGAACCAGGGCCCAGCTCCGACCGTCCAGACAGTCCGTCGCAAGACGACCTACACCAGGACGGAGATGCTGTCGCGTGGTCTGCCCACCGGTGAGTGAAGCCAAACATACAGAACTTCATATTGATTTCAAGCTGTTTCAGTGCACAACACCAATCGATCGGCTCGAAACTGCGCGACAGCTGGGCAGGATTGGAGCAGTCAAATGTCGCCGAAACAGCGCTACACACAACCGCCGAAGGCCGTCATCCCGGTCATTGGTCCATTGGTCCAAAGCACCAATGCCACCAATACCACCAACGCCACCAACAAGAGCAGCACACTCGGCAGGCAGCGGAGTTTCCTGCCCCGTGTGGCTAGATTGCCGAACAAGGCGGATAAGTCGCCCAGCAGGACACAAAATCGCGTGGCACGGACCACTGAGCTCCCAGTGGAGCAGTCGAAACAGCCGGTGGGCAATCACAAGGGCGTGCATTTAATGAATAATACACCGCATGACAGCGATAGCAGCATGTTGGCCACCAGTGGAGATAACCTAATCAGCGAGAGCAGCAGCTCCATGGAGCATCACAAGATCAAGTTGGCCAAGGCCATTCGCTTGCCGGATGATCAGAACAAGAGTTTCGTCTACGTCTGCAAGCCGGTGAAGAAGGTCAAAGCTTTGATGACCGCCCGCAGATTGCGAACTAGCACTGAGCACTTGAATGGACTGAAGGAGGGCGAGTTTTGCTTGCAGAACGAGGAGACGTACAAGCTACAGAGGAGCATATCCGAGGAGGCGATACGCAGCAAGGGCGCTGGCGAAGGATACACCCTGACGCCCGTCGAGGGGCTGGCACAGACGTCGAGTACCTCCAGCCAGTTGGATAGCCCCACATTGGCGGCCATGCTGCAGCGGCAGCAGCAATTTGAGGCCAAAGCGGTTTGCAGTCAGGAGCGTTTGAGGATCCAGTTGCGGGAGGTGCGCCAGAGGCAGCGCCAGTTGCGCCAACTGGAGCGGGATCAGTGCGAAAGGGAGCAGCGCCAGTTGGAATTGGATCAGATGTGCCAGAATCTGCCCGCTCTGCAGCATGAGATACACATGCTGCAGCAGTTGAGCGAAAAACTGGAGGCGACAATACGCGTATCCAGTATACCCAAGCCGAGGAGCACTGTAATCATCGCGGATATAAGCCAGCAGTCCTCCGGTCGCTTCTACACACCGCGTACAAGTCCATATCAACTGAACGAGCTGCCGCTTAGGAAACTGGGTTGTCTGCGCGTCGAACAGATGGCAGTCATTCAACTGAGGGCACGCAACATGGGCACGGTATGCCATGTGGGTTTGGTTCAAGAGTTTCGCATTGAGACCAAAACGCTCAATGAGCTGAAGACAGCGGATGAGTCGCAATGCTTCTATTTGCCAGTGCCCAAAGTGGAGCCAGCACTGACCGCCGCCAACGAAGCTGATCCCCTGCAGCCCACCAATTTTCGCAAGCTACGAGAGAATCCCAATATGCTGCTGCAGCAGCTGCGACAAGTGCCCGGCACTGCGAGACCCTTCAACCTCTTGGATCAGGACACCATGTTCTTCAATAGTCTGGCCTATGCGGACCCAAAAACTTTGGCGGCTAACAGTGCGGCTGGGCAACTCGAGATGACCGCACGAGAGATGGGTGGCGGCGCAGCAACCCTGGCCCATTATGGCCATGGTGCCATTGCCTATTCACGCCTCTCGGTGCGGGTTAACGAAGTGGGCGTGGCGCCTACTGCCGCAGTGAAAACAGCAGAACAGGGCGATCGGTTAACAGGAGCAATTGAATGCCCTATCCGGGTGAATAATACCACTCAAACGGATGTTCGAGTGCCCAGGCTGGGCAAACTGCAACTGGAAACAGAAACGGAAATCAGTTCATCCCATCCCAGTCCCAGGCTGATCAAGCGCAAGAAACTGGAGGAGGTTAGAGCCAAGGTGCGTGGTCAAGATGTGAGGGAACCCGATCCCGGACCGAGACCAATGCAGACCAGGAATACAATGCGTCGGCGAGCACCCGAGCCGCCGATTCGGTGTCGCGTGGAGCCCAAGGTTCGATTGAAGTTGTTCAAAACCGTGTTGGTGGGAATGGTCCAAGTTGCTGTTATACTAGTTCTCATCATGGCCTTCACCTATCCGGATGTTAGCTGCTGAGCCACAAAACCATCGAAACATTCAACGAACCCCCGGGCTTTAGTCAAAGCTTAGTAAATGCAAAAAAGAAAAAAAAAGAAAAGAGAGTAAGCAGGGTAATGGCTATAAAGGCAAGCAGCTGGAAAAGCAGAAGATGCAAACCCAAACCACTAAAATCGTTGATAACCGATTCGGTGTTTGATATCACACACATATGTTTTCGAATTGATTGTTTTCTTACTGTGCCCGAGCGATGCCAAGTCGAGCAATGTTAATAAAATTTCACGTGTATTGCGAACCGTTAGCGCCCCAGCACCAAAACCGATACGCTGCCCATCGGTTCTGTATCGGTTAGGCGAAGCGGTTAAGCGAAACAATATAAAAGCATTTGTATCGGTATTAAGTTTATTTAAGCATTTCTCTATGTACAGCAATGTCGGTGTATTTGTGTGCTTGCGTGTGTGTACGTGTGCCATAACCATTTCAAATCTTAAATGTAAGCGGTCGAAAATTTACCTTTACCCGTTGTGCGTATGAACTCTGACCCGATTCGGGCGGAAATGCATCGTAACGAGAGTGTGTAGCTGTTTCGACTAGGGCTAGAAAAACGTGATGGAATCTGTTTGCGAGTAGCGGTAGCGGTAGCGCGTAAGCGGTTTAAAGCGGGAATCGGGTAAGCAGTTTAGCGGGCAGGCGGTTTAGCCTTGCCTTGTTTGCGTGCATGCCGCGTGGCATTGCTAGAAACCAAAGCAAGAGTTAAAATTGTCTTCGCAGAGCTCTGAACAAAGCACACATATTTTTTTTTTGTTAGAGAAAGAACAACGAGAGGGTGTATTTAAAGCGGAAACGGTAAAGTATCGGGAAGGATACGGTTAATGAGTAACTACAGCAGACAGGAAAGCAGCCAATAGAAAATAGAACCCAATAAACTGGACACAAAAGCGCAGAAGCGTATAGTGGAAAACAGAAACAGCTTTGGGAAATCCCAAATGAAATACTTTTGTACTGAAACCCTTGCAATTGAGAAACATTGCGTATGCAATTACTTACCGCACAATAAGTGGAAAGATGTTGTTGTCCGCCGGAGCCCGATAATCCCGATAGTACAGCAGATATGGCGACTTATTGTTCACGAAAAGCGGTGGCACACCACCGCCGGTGTTCGAGACAATCGCCACATCCGCACAGTTCCGGAAGGTCTCTGCAACAAATTGATTGATTAGCATCAGTGCGCTGCATGCGCAAGTACTCCAATTGCTGAAACAATGTTAACTAATGTTAACTCAACGCACCTGCCTTGCCGCAGCCCACGGCCTCGGTGCCATTGGCACAGGTGCCCCACATGTTGGCGGTGTAGTAGGTCCACTGCAGGACGCACTGCGTGCAGGTGACATATGGCGGCAGGCGCACCTTGTATCGGAATATATCCTTCTTTTTGGCATCGCGCGGTATGAGATACCGGTGCTCCCGACTGCCCGAAATCAGTAATGGATAGCGATCGAAGCACTTCTGCGTCGCCTCCTGTCGCGGATTATTGTTGGGGCAGAGGAACATCTCGAAGCGGCCATAATGATTGGCCGTCAGTTCCACCTCCACATCGATGGTCTGGCCGGCGGTGTAGTAGCGCGAGATGATGCCCTTGGCGTATTGGCCGCCCGCCTCGTGGGGTCGCGGCGACTTCACATGATAGGCATCGCCGCAGACGCCACAGCGTCCCTTATTCTGCTCCCATTGCACCGCATAGCCGCCGCAGAAGAGCTCGTTGTCATTGTAGTTGACCGGATTGGGATAGCCAAAGCGCCACATGGCATTCCTGGCCGGCGGATCCATCAGTCGCCCGTGTCCGCGCACCGTTGCCACCAGTTGCAGCACCACCAGTCCCAGCTGCAAAGGAAGGGTTTAGCACACCCACTTGCTGGCTGCCTGGCTGATTGACCAGCGCATGATTACTTACCACGCCCACTGGCAATACGCCCATTCGGGCGGCTGTCAAGTGTCGTCGCAACCCCATGCCAGATTTTCAGATTTGCAGTTTCTCAGATTTCCAGATGCCTAGAAAGCAGACGTGCAACATGATATATGTATGTAGTGCGGCAGACAGAGCGCTTAAAATCGCATGCATTTCGATCGGCAAACGGGTTTTTTGGGCCACACAAACAGTGGAACGCACTTGGCTGCCACAGATTGCATAAAATATGAACAATATGTTGCAAAACTAAAGATTTAAAAGCCAACTTAAACAAGTTGCAATGCCAAATCCCTTGGCTTGCCACACTTTTTGAGCAATTTGCAACCACTGTGCGCGGCACTTGGTGCATTCAGTGCAGATTGCAAGGACGTCCACCTGATCCGCTTTTCGACTTTATGGCCGCTGCCCTTTATAAATAAATTCATGCCCACACACACACACGCATACACACGCACAACCTGGACCAGACAGACGGGGATAAAAGCGAGTGAATTTGCCACTTTTTGCTTAAATATCATCCTTTTTTTGCCCCTTTGAGGCTTATCTTTTATGTTAAACATGTTTGTTCGCTTGTCAGGGCGTTGAAAAATAAAAACAAGAAGGAGGTAGAAAAACTAAAACTAGATTTAAAACGCAAAGGAACCAGACTGTCGTCAATGGATAAATTTGCTCCTTTAGGTATATGTGCATATGTATCTTTTTTGGTTTACGAGTATTTTCAATTTCGTACATTACTTTTAATGGCATCATCTAGTTGTCGCCGGAAGGGAAATCCAATCTGTGGCACAAACGGGTTTACGCCGGGCACTTGAACTTGGTCCGGCCCCCAACGAAATCAAAATACGCAGATTTCTGTGCTAAAAATATATGTGTGTGCAGTTTGCTCGAGTTCGATACTCATTAAAGGCCACGGTTGCACTGGCAGAAAAAGCGAGCACGAAAAGGGTTTCAGTTTGCTGGATTCAAGAGAAAATACGAAAATGCGATACGATTTAAGCGATCAATATAACTATTATTTTTATAGTAACCTCTTTTTCATGGTATTGCTTGTTGCGGAAGCTACTCGATTTCTCTCAGTGTGCTTTCATTCAGTCGCAAGTTTAATGCCCAGCATTCTAGACTCATCAAGCCAACTTTTATACATATATATGTATATATAGCTGATAAAGAAATGGTGGCCTATCCCCACATATTCCGAAATATTTTAGTAAATATTTTCGTGCTGTCGTTGTTTTTTTCCCCTTTTTTTTTGCCTTTTGGCCATTGACTCTGTGTGGCCGTAAACTTGGTTATTTAACGATACGCAATTATAGCATTTACAGGGTGTTTTTGGGGAGGAGGGGGGCATAAGGAAATTGACAGTAAACGTGATTTTATAACTCATCAATTTATGAATAATATATTGATTTTTTGTTCCTGCCATTTCAATGACGATGTTGTCAAGCCAACCGAAAATCCAAAACTGCCAGCCAAGTTGGCAAGGAGTGAATAAAACACACGGTGACTGATTATTCGATGGGTTAAGACGCCAAGCGGTTAATTAGAAGTGGCTGCAAGTAGGAGACATTAACCCATGTTGCTCGAAAAAAATCCAAATAAATTAGCAGCTTATACAAAATGTATACCAACTTGCAGCAAGATATGCACAATGAAATGATGTAGAATATCATTTGCCTTATGTGCAGACCTTTAAAGGGTTAAGGCGGGGCTTGATTAACCCCCGACCAGCCAATTTTTTGGCGTCGATGTAATTAGGCATGAGTGCTTGGTTTTTAATTGCGCCGCCGAAATCAATCAGCGACCAGGTGGAAACTGCTTGGCGTTAAATGAGCGTGTTGCACGACAAAGTGAAAATCGAAAAAAAGGGGGCAGGAAAACGTTGTGGCAGGAAAAATCAGAGAAGCCACAGCGTCCTTGCAACGCCTATCATAATTGTCGGCCGAATTCGCTGATCGGCAGCGGTTAATTGAAAACCCTGGCGGAAATTAAGTTGTAAATTAAGCAAATTGCACAGCCTCGAAAAGCAAAAAAAGGGCCCACCAATGCGGTTTTATTTGCACTGCGTGTGTTTTCATTACGCAACTTAAACGTTCAAGCCCTGTGGCACGAAAAAAATCGCAGCAGGAGCCAACGAATGAAGTGCAAAAAAGGAATGTACTTAATGTACTTAATATATCACCTTGTGCAATCCTTGTCTTAAGCGTGACGGAGCCCAAATAAACAAAAAAAAAGAAAAAAACCAAAAAAAAAAAAGAAGAAAAGCAAATAAACCAGAAGAGCCAAGTAATAAGAGCTCGTAATAAAGTGGTCAAAAGATGGTGTATAGGGGGTCAAAATACGGCAACGTCCTTACGCAAAATTCCCAACCCTTTAGGGGGCATGCGAAATTAACAAATTCGTCACATAATCGAACAGCCTCAGTGCTTAACAATTATTATTTCTTCCGCTTGCCCAATGAAATAATTCGATTCGATTTTAAAGGCACCCAAAGCTGGCTGAGTAATCACTAATCATGTGTATAGAAAAGCGAGACAAAAGAGTTGCTCGCCAAATGGGCGACATGAATAAATCACAGATAATGATATTGATACGCATTATAATGTGAATACCGCCTCATCGTCACCAATGATTTTTTCGTACGAGTCACGATTCTGTAAGCGGCATGACAAATTGTTCATCCGCGTTTTTAAGAACCCTATTTTTATCGTTTTTCGGAGGTCGGGACGCAAAAAAGGGAAAAAATTAGAGTCAGATGTATTCAGCTGATTTGCAAACTGGGACTGTCGAATGTAAATCGGTTTATAGAATCGTTCTTTTAGCATTTCTCCCTCTTAATTGCTTGTCGAAAAAAAACACTAATTGGTTGTTTTGGAAATATATCTATTTGGTTTTCTTTTACCAGCACATCTGCATGTGTTCTAGCAAATTGATACGTTTGTGGATTATAATTAAACTTATGGTTTAATAACTTTTCCCAATCGAATTGAATATTCTGAGCGACAGGAGCTTGTTATACGAATGTTCCATGATTTTGGGACTTGCATGCGGCGTGAATAGAGTGCCTGATTGAATTTACATTTAGTGATTGATTTTATTGATAGATCGAGGTGATTTCAGCCAAGATTTCATGGGGCTAGGTGTCCAACTTCACGAATTTCAATCACGTAAGCCAACATGCAAAGCATGGGGTACATCCAACATGCGTACATTTTGTAATCAAGACACAGGGTCTTCAGTCGAATCGAATGGAATCAATGCTATTTATTTGGCCAGCCGCCTTCAAGGCAAGAAAAATGTGTCATTGTGTCAATTGTTGGAGCGGCGTTGTCCAGAAATCAACCGCAAAAAATGAATCAAACGACTTGGCAAACAAAACAAATGGGCCAATTAATGGCTCAGCATCGAGTTGGCTTTCAAATGCACAGAGAGCTTAAAACAAATAGTTAGACGCATATCCAGTTTGGGTTTGAGATATTTCCGTTTTGAAATCACATTGTGCTTTTTAATTTACGATCGAGCGACAGGCGTGAGAACGATTTCTTTTCAAAATAAATGTATATATATTTATAAATTAACTGAAAGCTAACTGGAACTGGCTGCATCGCATCCTTACCAACTTGTGGCATTAAAAAGTGTTAAGCGTCGTAATGGGCACAACGAAGGTCAGTTTTTTGGAATGGCAGAATCGTCAGCTGATGGCTATCACACAATGCACTGCAAGAAACGTGCCGCTGGTTCCGAATGTCTGGCATTTTAATTGGAAATGCCTCCGCTGCATTTAGGCAACTACTATCAATTAAATGGCGCTCCCTCGGGTAGAAAGCGAAAATTGAAAACGAAATTGTCTTGCGCAACAAATGAAATAATTTCAACTTTTGCTTTCTATCGCGCAAAGCCAAAAACGCCGAGCTACCCAAAAAGGGGAGTCCACCAACGTGAGGCCCAATGTTCACATGGAAAAATAATATACAAAATACAAATGCACACGCAAATAAATAACAAAATAAAAATACAAATAAAATTCAAAATAAAACCAATGAAAATACTTGGAGTTTTCGGGGCCTTTTGTTTTGGATTTTCGGTTACTCAGCGCTCATTGAAATGCAGCCATAAGCCCCAAGCCCCAAGCTCCAAGCTTTTCATAGCGGGTTCTATGGCACTAACTGCACTTGGCCACCCTTTTGGCATGCCGATCAGGTAATCTGTCCACTTTTCAGTTGGAGTGGTGCGCTTCTCGCCAGATTCGGGGCTAATTCGATTGTTTGCATGGCAGTGGAGCTAATCAAAAGGCAAGACCAAAAATAAAAATAACAAAATTCTTTACAAAATATACGGAAAAGATCTGAAAAAAGTCGGACATAAAAATCTTTAAAAAAATCTGGAAAAAAAGTCTGACAAAAAATCAAAAAAATCGTAAAAAAACGGACATCGAAATAATAATTTACAACAAAATCTGCAAAAAATTTGACTAAAAATCGGAAAAAACTGACTAAAAATCAGACAAAAATCGGGGAAGAAGATCGGAAAAAAATCTGGGAAAAGGAGCCGTCGAAATTGTGGAACAGGTGCACTGCTGCCAGGTGTCGCTGAACTCCTAATCATTTTCAGACACGTTTTTTCGAAACGCTCTCTGTTTACTTTTATGTGGTATTATTTTGGGCATAAAAACGAACTCGGTTTACTTGCGTTTTTTTTATATTCCCATGTCCCTCAATTTTAATTGCAGCCAGGCGTTAAACAGCCAATTTGTTTTATTTCTATTTAACTTACAAATAATATGAGATTTGTGAAATACGAAAAAAAAAAATCCAACTGTGTTTAAGTTACAAAGTTTTGCCCGTTTTTTGTTTGATTTAATTAAAGCACGTCTTACATTTTGCACTTTATTTGCGAACTTGTATTTCAAACTAAACGAAATTAATATGAAATCGAAACGCAGCGGCGTAAAAAAAGGAGTCACTTAAAAAATAGTTTCCACTTATTGTTGGCCATAAACTTGAACTTGAGTAAATTACCTGAATATTTGTGCGTAATTTACGTTGCAATCCGCAGACTTGTAGGCACTTAAAATTTTTCACGCACACACAGGAATTAACAAGAGAAACTTAAAAAAAAACGTGAAATTTTAATTCGATTTTTAAGAAATTTCAAAATTGTTCTATACACTTGGGAGGTTGATTTGGAAAATTGAGCAAAAAAATATGCTGCAAGCCGGCTTGCATGGGCGTTTCGGCGGCGTGGGCGTGGCGCTGTGCGCGTGTGTAGGCGGTGTGTGGGTGTGCCTGTGCGTGTGTGTGCGTGTGTACTGGGTGTGTGTATATCGCGTGCTTTGCGTTTGCGCAGCGGCAACGTTCTGAGTTCGTTTGCCGCTCGGCGATCGAATTTCAACGACTTTTCACTGCGCGGTACGGTGGCAGAGGTGCGGCAGCGCCGCGGCTGAGACGCGGCAGAGACGCCCAACAACAACTATAACAACTACAACAATAATAACAACAACTACAACAGCAAATACAACAACAGCAACAACAGCATCAAGGCAAAAACAAATACAACATGCAGACATATACGCTTCCGAGTGCCAACTTAATGTCATATAACTTATTTAAGGATCCAATGCGTATCTATTGAAAGTATTTCATTTCAAAGGGATATTCAAAATGTTCGAAAACTATAATATTTTGTTGTATTTATAGCTATAATTTTACAGCATAGGTACTATTTCGTTCAAAATGCTTTAAAAAAAATACTTAAATATTTATGAAAGAAGTAAATATACTTAAACATTTATGAAAGAAGTAAAAATACTTAAACATTTATGAAAGAAGTAAAAATACTTAAATTCTTATGAAAAAATTAAAAATACTTACATTTATATGAAAAAAGTAAAAATACTTAAATTTACATGCAAAAAGTAAGACAAATCATACGATTTAGTTGCATTTACATATCTGATTTTACTGCATAGCTTCTTCAAATAGTATTTAAATAGATTTTCGATGTGGGTAAGGGTATTTAGGTATCGACTTGCCACTGCCAACTTCCTATCTCGTTTTTATTTTAATATTGGCCACGCAGCGTCGTCGACGTCGCTGCTGCTGCGCATGCGCAATGCGTTGGTTTCGCTGCCGCCATCGATGTTGCCACTTCATTGGCCAGCACGAGTTGGTGGGTCTTTTTTCACTGTGTTCGTTATGCTACTAGGATACTACTCAGAGGCTGCCTGCAACTACCTGCAACTTGAGACAGCTGAAGCCGCAGCGGTGCTGCATTCGTTTTCAATGGCATTAACCCTATGATTTCTAATCCTCAAACATGTTTTCAGTTCTGATATATATATATATATATTCAGTTCGATGTATGAAACTGAATATTTGTCACCTGGACAGTTGGGTCTGCACTACTTGAGTTAATTACCCCATTGCGCCAACTGCTGATTAATTGGCTGAAACTGAAGAGTCCAGACCTCAGAATGGTAGCTATTTCCGTAGGCCAGCTCAGCGCAAAAAAAAGAACAAAACAAAACAAAACAACAATCAGAGGCGTTGGGGGCAGGGGGCCGGCCATTGAATTACCATAAAATATTTCATGCAATACCCACTGATTGACTTGGCCAACGAATTCGGGCAGCAAGCCCTGCTCATTTTCCATTAACAACACCTTTTGGGCCGCGTCTCATTTATGTCGCCAGTTTTTGATTTATGTCGTCCACTTTGAGTGCTGAATATGAAATCAATAGTTCGATTTCGGCGCTCTTTTCGCTTGCAAATTGAAATCGTGACTTGAAGCTTTAGATAAGACATGGCCCAAATGTAATTGGTAGAACAAAAAAAAAAAAAAGAAACCCAAGAAGCCTAAGGAACACACATTTAAAAACCCATAACAAGCATTTCAAATGCGCGGTTCAATGAACTGTGCTTTTTGAATCGCCCGCCTTGATGCTTCGTATAACAGTTTTCACTGGGAAATTTCCGAACAGCTGTTGCCGGAATTTTCCACATTTTCTTCTCTCCTTTTCGGTTTTGCGTGTGTGTGTGTTATTTTTTTTTTTGGCCAGCGTGAGAGCTTTTCTCCAGCTGCGCAGAGCGGCGATAAAAGCCGGGAGAATTTTACGCGACGGCAGAGAGAATTTCCCCATTTGATGGAGAATCTTCTGGCAGCTGGTCAAATTTTTGGAGGATTTCGTCCTCGCTGTGATTCCGGTTTCGTCCTTGTCTGCGGCATGACTTCCTCTCCTTCTTTTCCTCTAGCTCTTCCGCTTTTCCGCTTTTCCTCCCCCTAGCTTACGCCTTTCCCCAACCGAATGATTAGGTAAACACCAGCGGAATGCCGTGCCCAAAAATTCTATTTAAATTGCCAGCAAAGGGAACTTGGTAAAAAAAAAAAACTTAACTTAAATGCACAGAAGTCGCGGGCGAAATCTTGCTTGAATTTTGAACTCACTAGAAATGTATCTTTTGGCTTTCTTACACATCTATTATTTTTACTGCTCATTTTATTTCGTTCATACATTTTATATCAAGTTTTTCGTGTGCTGCACGCACATAATGTTTGTGTTGCCTTAGCATTAGCATACTTAGCCAGGCCCAAGCACATTACACATACGCACCGTTGGCTCCGCACTTTCACCTCCGCCAGGGGCGTAGGAGAAGAACGGAGGGGGGCTAGCCAGTTTAGCCAGGTTAGCCAGGTTAGCCAGCGCTGCCTTCATTCACTGGCAATTTACATGCTTTATTCGAGTAATTTAATTGCAAATGTCCCATTAGTGGCAAAGTGAAGAGCCCAAAGGGGGGCGGTGGGTGCGATGTGGGTGAACTTTTGTACGATGGGGGCGGGGGTAGTCCTTGAGAGGGGCATGGTGGGGGGTGGTACCTGGATGGGGGTTAGCTGCCCAATGTTAAGTACAGCCAAGCACAGTGCAGAGAAATAAATCTATATTTAAAGCAGTTCTGTGAACACATCATTGTCTCGTTCGATTTCAGTGTAATAATAGTAGTTATTATAATAATAATAACCATATTATATTAGCATTTTGCAAACATTCTCAAAACACTGATGATAGCCACACAGCTATTTCTTCGTTTGGAAAACCTTTTCTTCAGTTTCGAAACGCATTTCCACTGTGTCTGCTGAAGATTTGAAAAAGGCCAACTGAAGAGGGTCTAGAAAGTGCTTTGGGTTGCTTTTCGTGGAGAGGGGGAGGTGCAGGGGTGGGGGCGCCCCTTTGACCCCCCAGCCCCTCACTTTTCGTTGGTGTGACATTTCTTGGGCTCTGTTGTTGGTTTTGTAAGTGTCATTAACATAGCCGAGCAACCGCAAAAAAGCGCAAAATGCATCTCTGGAAATAAGGAAAAGTGGAAAAATAAGTGAAAAAAAGAAAAAAAATATAGTAGAATAAATAGAGAAGCAGCAACCAGAAAAAAAAATGTTACACACACAGAGAGAGAGATGGACATATGCAAAAGGCTCTTCAGTGTCTCCTGTTATTTTTCTATGTGTGTTTGTGTGTGGGGTGTTTTTTTTGTGCCAGTGTGTTTGTGACAGGCCAAAACTAACAACAACAACCAGCTGAAACAAATGCAAAGAAAAGGAAAATAATAAATAAAACTGTCACATAAAATAAGGCAAAAGATAGAAGGATGCTGGTTCCATTCTGTTTTTAGTGGCATTTCTAAGGCATTTAGCCATGCAAAAGTGCTCATCTCAAAGCCTTTTGGTCCCCCCAAAAATCCTGTGGATATTACCAGCAAACTGTTACTTAAATAGGCCAAAGTATATACTTGCAAATATTTATATATAGTACATATATTCACACATGCAGATGGGCAGTTTCGTAAAAGTGCTGACATTTATGATTGAGATACAACAACTTTTTATTGCAAAATTATCAAACACCAAATCCAAAGGACATTCGCACAACTTTTCTTCTCGGAATATGATGTGTTTGTATTAAACTATATTAATGCAAATTGCATGGAAATGGATTGAAAATTCCAAAAGCCCATGCTGATTGTGGACATTTTTCAGCATAGCAAAAGTATTCAAAAGTGGAATAAATTGAAATTTATACACTGCAAGGGCTATAAACTTTTTGTATATTTTAGTCGGCGGCTAACAAAAGTTTCGCCCCAAAAACTCGCGAGTTCATTGCACCAGCCCCACCCCCCATTTTACAATAAAAACCCCCATAGAAATCGCGCTCACCTACGCCCATTAAAATCGTGGCAGGGTGCCAGATTGTAAATACAACAAGATTCGCTTGTAAGCCAGCCGCACACATATTTACATTAAGTGTGCAAATTTATTTAAGACTTGCCATTAAAATATTGATTTCCGATCTATGGAAAGTTGCTCCACTCTTGTCGCTGACTGTCGATAGTTAAGGGCAAATTTTCTTATGGAGGCATCGTAAAACAAAACGGCGAACGATCCACAAAACTGTCATAATCTCTGTTGTGATCTCCAAAACAAAGACGAGGCTGTTGTCGTTAAATACTATAGCATAAAATCGAAATCAATGAATAATTAAGCTAAACTTCGGCCCATTTTCAGTATCTAAAATTTGACTTTATTTATGGCAGTCATTAGAGGATATAAGTTTGTCTGGTATGCCAAACTTAAAATATATGTATACCGAAATCTTAAGCTAATCATAAATAATAATAACTACAAGTAGGAAACCCAAATGTTCTCGGGTGCGGAATAATGAGCTTTCTTGATTACTGCCCAATACTCGGTGTCTGTGTTCACCTGACAACGTTAATTGGGTTTCCAGCTTCTATGGCGGCCACCTAACGACCCATAAATTTATCCCTACCGTCGACATTTTGATTTGTTGTTGCTATTGTTGTTGTTTCTATTGCGTGGCATCCGTGACCGATAATTGTTCATGTGTCAAATTTCAACTAATCGATTAATCGTCAATTGTGTCTTTGTCCATAAATGTCAGTCTGTCCGCATGACCACTTGTCCGTTTGTCCGTTCATCCCTTTGTCCGCTTGTGTTTTGCTGTGCGGACATGGGCAGTCTGTCAATCGGTCATCCATCCATTCAATGGGTGAGTCGTTGAAGGCTTTTGGCTACCGCGCTCCCATAATATCGCAAAATCCCCCCCTCACTTTTGCCAATATCTGGGGCTTATATATTGTCATCCCGTCGATATTTCGTTTTTTTTTCTCCTCCGCGCTTGCAAACTCTGTTTTGTGTGACGGAATATTTTTGTTTAGATGGGCTTTTGTTGTTGCGCTTTTAAAATTTGTTCGTGTGTTGTTTTTTTTATATTTTTTGTGTTATTATTTTTATTCTTATTGCCTGTAATATTGTTTTTGGCTTTGTTTACGTTGGTGGATTGGCTTGATTAGGCTGTCCAAACTGT